CATTGATTCATGTAGGGGCTCAATAAATATTTGTTGGATGAATGACTGAATGAAGTAGCTGATGACTAGATTCATAGGCAGGGTAATAGCAATCATCCCTTGGTATCTACAGGGGATTGGTTCAACGGACCCCTGCCTCCCGCCCCATAGATAACAAAATCCATGGATGTTCAAGTCCCCTAAATAAAATGGTACAGTGTTTGCATATCCTCCCATATACATTAAATTATATCTAGATTTTTATAATATCTGATACAATGTAAATGCTATGCAAATACTTGCTATACTGTTTTGTTTAGGTAATGACAAAAAAAGTTTGTGTAACTTCAGTACAAGCATAATTTTTTTTCCTGACTATTTTTGATTAAGTTGGTTGAATGCATACATGGAGAACTCATAAATATGGAGGGCCAACTGTATGCCCTAATTTTATTGATTTAAAGCTCAATTTTAAATTTGTACTTTAAATAATAACAAATAGAGGACCTGGCTTTGCCAGCTTCTTCCCTTTAAGTGAAGAGCACGGTGGCATCCAGGAGGAAAGTAAGCATCCTAGCGATGAATCACACAGAGAACACTGTTTTTCTTCCAAATACCATCTTGCTTTAAGCTTCCAGCAATGACTTACTCTAAAGAGGTTCCCAGTCCTGTTCTGGCAAACTGGAGCCAGAGCCTGGGCTGTGCTCTGGAATGATCTGGGGGCTTTAAGCCATACTGATGGCCGAGTTTCACTCCGTGAGACTCTGACTTCCCTGGCCTCAGGTGCATTCTGGATGGTGGGATTTTTAAAATTCCCGTGTAGTTCTAATGTGTAGCCAGAGCTCAACCTTCCAGTTCCTTCCTCGGTTGACCACTTTGTAAGACCTTCACTGTGCTGTATAGTTTTCTTTTTAGAGAGGAAGGGAGACCATGGAGGAAGGTTATAATTATCAATAAGGTTATAATTATTCAATAATTATCAATTATTGAAGGTTATCAATAATTGGAAAATAATTTTTCCGATTATTTTGTCAGTCATGAATTCTATTTGCAGTGGTTTTCTTAGTGCATTGTCTCACTGATTATTAGTCAATATTAGTCAATCCTTTAATTATGAGATAAGTAATTAGTATTTTTCTTTCTTTTTCTTTTTTTTTTGTATTTGGTACTGGGGATTGATCCCAGGTGCACTTTACCACTGAGCTACATCCCCAGTTCCTTTTATTTTTTATTTTGAGGCAGGGTCTGGATGAGTTGCTGAGTCTGTCCCTGAACTTGAACATCCCGCCTCAGCCTCCTGAGGCAGGATTTACCAGGCATGTGCTACCGTGCCTGGCTAAGTCATCAGTGTCTCTCTCAAATGATTCATGGAAACTCATCAGAAGTTTATTCCATTGCTTTTGAGGTTTTTTCTGAGAAGCATATCAAGTATTCTGCAAAATATATCAAGACCACACACTGTTCCATGAAGAGGGAAGAAAGGCTGGTAAGTGACTGACTTGTGTTTCTCGTCGGAGTCCCTCTGCACCAGGGAAGCCTAACTGGGGAATCTGCCTTGATCAGAGGCATCAGCTCTCAGCCCAGCCCCACCTCCCTTGGCCCTGACCTCCTCTGCTCTCAGCAGCTGATGTACTCACAGGTCTAACTGCAGGCTTGGTTCATCCCAGCTCTTGAACTGATAGAACAATGAACATCAGCAGCCTGGTGCCCTTCACTTATGCTCCCCATATTTGAAAGCTAATTAGTAAATCAACAAATAGCTATTGTTAATAATCAGTATTCCTAGTTAATATTTAGTATCATTAATAATATGATGTGCCTTTGTATGTTTCCTACTTCCACTCACTTTCTACAGACCTCCTTTACTCCCCCATAGATGAGTGTTTTGGAGCTAAAAATGTGTGCCAGAGGCTCAGCTTTCCTCAGTTGGCCCACTTTGCAGACACTGTTCTGTGCTACTTAGCCACCCTGCCCTGCATCCTGCTTCTTTGAGGATGGAACTGGGGTGTGTGGCCAACACCGGGAAGATGCTCTCTCTCTGCCCACCTCTCCTGGCATCAACCCCCATAGCCAGGCTGATACATATTGCCCAGTGGAACACTCAATTCTATGGCTAAGGTTCCAGAAGCCGTGTCATACCCAACCTTGTTCTCTCTTAGGCTCTTGCTTTATACAATCTCATTGTCATTGCCATTGACCCTTTCCAGCTGAACAGCTTCCCTCCAGCCCCGATCCCTTGCTATAGGACAGGGTGTCTCATTCTTCATTAGTTCTCTAACCATTTTCACGACTTTGGTCATCTCCTTGCAATACCTGTACTATTGTCATATATATATATATATATATTTTTCAAGACTTTGGTATCTTCTTGCAATACTTGTACTATTGTCTAATATAATATTTTATATATATATGTATATATACATATACATATATATACATATATATGTATATATATATGTGTGTATATATATAATATATATATATAATGTATGTATGTGTGTATATATATATTTCTTAAATTACCTTGCTTTCAAACAAGCAGAACCCAAACTATTTTGCTTTGGGCACAAATATCCTGAAATCAGATTTGATGTATCATTTATGTTTCCCTATTTCTCATTAAAATAAACCCATAACTATTAAATAAAACACTGGTGGGCAGCCTAGACTCACACGGTAGCCCGAGAACCCTTGTGCCACACTTTGGGAAATGCTCGCCTCAGGGCCTCCACCTCAGGTCTGCTCTTTTCCATTTCAGGACTTTCCTATCCACCTGCCCACACACATCTAGGACTCATAAAACTTGCTATTCATACATGTGCAACTCATATGTGTAAGAGGAATTTCACTGATAAATTATTATCAAAGCTCGTATAATGGTGTGGGGTCAGAACCTGACTCTGGAGGTTACCTGGACTCAAATCCCAGGGCTCCCATGTATTGTGTACGTCATTGTCCCTCTCTTAGTGTTGTGGTTTGGCTATCAGGTGCCTCCCCCAAAGCTCCTGTGTTAATGCAGGAAACTCAGAGGTGAGATGATTGGATCATGAGAGCTGTAACCTAATCAGCCCATCCTAGTCCGAATGGACTGACTGGGTGGTAACATAGGCAGGTGGGGCATGGCTGGAGGAGGTGGGTCACTAGGGGTGTGCCCTAGAAGGATGCATCTTCCTGGTGGCCCCTTCCCCACTTCTCTCTCACTGCTTTTTGGTGTCCAAGAACAGAGCTGCACTCCTCCACCACACCCTTCCACCACGATGTTCTGCCTCAGAACAATTGAGCTCAAAACAATTGATTTGGCCAACCAAGAACTAAACCTCTGGACCTGAAAGCTGAAATAAACTCTTGTTCCTCTAAGTTGTTCTCGTCAGGTATTTTGGTCACAGCAATAAAAAGGTGTGATTAGTGTGAGCTACTCAGGGAGCAATAGCTATGGGATTAAATAAACTAACATATGTTTAGGGCTTAGGAAAGTGTTTGCACATGGTAAGTGCTGTCTAAAGTTAAATATTAGTATAAGCTGTGAGTTTGGGCAATGGAAGTTTCAATTAAAAAATAGTTTATGGTTTCACTAGGCACCCTTTCTTTTGAGAAAAAGTTGGCTAAGGAATCATAGGCGTGAACTCATATGTGTTCAATTTCATGGTAAATGCTTCATGTATTTACTGGTTCAAGATATTAGAGTTCTCTAGTCAGGTGGCCTATTCAGAACCCAAAGTGATTTAAAATGGCATTTGACTGCAATTGGTTATTCAAAATGGGTATTCTATGCAAATCTGAGAATGATACTTTCACCCCCACCCCATTCTCAATTTTTTTTTTCTTATGAAGTTTGTTAACTTTGCTTGAAAAAAGTGTTTTCACTAAGTATTGGGAGAAGTATAAAACTGTGGTTGTGTACCATCCAAATGTTCTTTTTTTGCAGTGCTGGGGATTGAACCCAGGGTCTTGAGCATGCTAAGCATGTGTGCTACCACAGAGCTGCACCCCAGCTCCCATTCCAAATGTCTTTAAGAGGCTTTATATTATGACAATAGTTGATAGTTCTAAAATAAACCACAAAACTTTCAAATTATTTCATAAGTTTTAATATTTCATAGTAAGCTCTCCGGGTCATAATATAAACACTATTTCTTCCTATTTCCATTCTGAAGTAATTAAAAACATCAGTTACATTACTTTAAATGTCTTAATTACATTTACTTGAGCACAATCAATTACATTTATGAAGGAAAACAAAGGAATTATAAAGCTATATTTGAATGAAACTCTTCATTCTGATTTTAAACCTAATCAGAAAAAACATATTTAGTATAATAATAATAATCCTCTACATACATATCATCCTCGTTGGGGTACCTGTGTTACAAAAATCATCACATTAAGCAAAAGTATTCATCTAATTATTAAAAACTAAAATTCTTTTTTAAAACATTTGTACTTTACCACTACCTGAGATTTTTTTTTAAGTTGTAAATATATACTTTGGAGATAAAATGATCAAATTACTTCCTGAGGCTATTCTAACAAGTTCTGAATGCTAAGCAAAAATCTTATGAAATGTCTCAGGGGATAAAATCGTAAAGCTTTTTATCTGAAGCTGTTTAGATGCTTCTAAGAGCCAAATGAGGATGTGTGAAATTCCCTAATAGGGAAAAGGCTAATGGAAAGGCTCAGGGAGGGAACCACAGGCTTGGCCTTCCACTGCAGCTCCTGAGCTAAGGCCAATATTGTTAATCTTCCTGTTCTGCAGTTGGCTTATTTGTTCATTTGGGAGAATCGTATTTTCTCAACCTAATTGTATGTACCATAGCCAGTCTCAAAATGCTGCACAAAATTTCCCAATACTGTCAAATATTTCCAACAGATAACTTCCTCAGCTAGTCAGCATTTTTACTACTATCTCTATTTCTTGGAACACAAGACCCATCTCCCAGCTCAACAAAAGATAGTTGCCATTTTGCATTTTCCTCCTGTACGCACACCAATATCATGCACAGGGCAACTTGGAATTTCTTTCAAAAGTCCTCACTGTCATAGCTAAAGAGTGGACCTGCTCTGTCCACATAACTGATGGCAGAGCCCAGCCCGTACAGACACACATCCCAGGCATCGGCTCCCTCTGGCCTAGAGGGAGCTGCCTCTTGTGGAAAAGCCAATGTGGATTTGATGGCCCTGCAATCTCCTGGAACTTTCAAAGGAATTTTCCCTGCTGGAGAGGGTGCCCTGGTGACTGCAGCTGAGGGGTCCAGGGCTTCTGGACAGACAGACATCAGGGCATTTTCAGCAGCATAGCTACAGGTTGAAAGGCTGTTAGCCTCCTGTCCACCGTCACCATGTTTCAGAGCAGGGCACGGGTAGGCCTGGTAGGACACTTTGGTGGTAGTGGTGATCACTGTCTGCAGGGCTGGGCCACCAGCTGAAGGAGTGGCGAGGTACCTACATGGAAACTCTGGATTTTGACATGGGGGCGTGGCCATGGCCTGTAACTGTCCATGGTCGGTCCTCTCCCCAAGGCTGGGTTTTCCAAGTGCTGATTTCCAGCTGCATTGTTTACTGGTGAAATCAAAATTCCTCTCGTAGCTGCTGTATGAATTGACATTATATTGGAGTGCGTTCAGATGGACCCAGTCTGGGTCTTTAGGAACACTGGTAGAATCTTTACAAAGGGTGGGATAGGGACTTGGATTTGTGTATCCAGGGCCTGTCAATTCATAGCTGCAGGGTGGTCGAGGCCAATAGATTTTTGGGTTTGGATATTTCTGAAAGGGAGGCACCATGTCTCCTTGAAAGATGGCTAGGTCACAGGTAGCTTTGTAAGCATCAGAGTTTGGGAAGGAAGTACAAGGCTGCCCTGGAATAAGGCAGCTCGTGTCAGTAATTATATCAAACAGTTCTGGATTTTCCAGGAAAGATGTGCTGTTGAAATATTCACTGCTGTCTTGATTTGCTCCTGCCTAAAAAAAAATTATACAAATGCAGAAATATGATATACAAATGGCGTAGACATCTTCACCCATAACAATAGTTGACCATGCAAATAAAAACAAGTTTCCAGTTGGTGGGCCCTGTATTGTGACAATACACTGCTAAGTGACATGATTTGGGCTTGTGGTCCAGAGTTCGCTAAGCTTGAGATTGCTCAGGAATGAACACAACATATGGAATGAGGAAGGTCTGTAGAAACCTTGGGGATCTGCTCTCAGAGGGGATATTGGGACCCTGTCCCCTTCTCTCTGCAGTTTCAGCCTCGCTTTTCTCTTTTACTTCTGGCCATAAGGCAAGGGCTTTCTCTACCATGCACTCACCACAGGCCCAAAAGTAACAGTCTAATCAACCATGGATTGAAATCACCAAAACTATAAGCCAAAATAAAACTTTTCTTTTTAAAAATTTGATTGACTCAGGCATTTTGTTACAGTTACGGAAAGCTGGCTAACACAAATGTAAAGGACCTTTTCAAGATGCCCTGTTAACTCACTGTTAGTATGCACATTCAGTAGTCCCCACTTATCCATAGTTTTGCTTTTTGAGGTTTCAATTACCCATGGTCAACCAAGGTCCAAAATTATTAAGTGGAAAATACTAGAAATAAATAATTCACAAATGTTAAATAACTTTAATTGTAATCTATTGTTATCATTGTTCTATTTTATGAGTCATTTTGTTAATCTCTTACTATGCCTAATTTGTAAGTTGAACTTTTTCATAGGTTTATATATGTGTGTATAAACACACATATATAAATATATATAAAACAACCTATATAGGGCTTGGTATTATCTATAGTTTCAGGTATGCACTGGGAGGTCTTGAATCTATTCCCTGAGGATAATGGTTCTGGTGTATTTCTTTCTCTAAGTCTGTTGGATAATCAGGCACCTGTATCGGGAAGTCAGCAGACATCTTAACTGTATCCCTGCCAATAGAGATCATGGGCTACAAGGGATTAGAGATCCCAACCAAGTGTCGATGTAATGACATTTTTTAGGGATACTGAATTTAAGGGAAGACATTCATATTTCAATTATCAGTGTATTCGACTATGAAAATGAACATAGAGCACAGTGCCCGGTCATCTCCCCATTACCTCGGGTTCACGCATTCTCTTTTTCTGGGGTTGGTAAAAGGAGGTCATCTGTCTCTTGAGGGCACTTCTTCTAGCTTCTGTCTCTGATTTACTCTCTGGTCTTGCGTGATCATGAACTCCCTTGGCCTACAATAATGAAGAAATGGATCATCTGTCTGTTCCTCTAGAGAAAGCTGGCTATGGTTTAAGCTGGCCAAAAATTGATCATACCTTTTCCAAAGATCCCAAGTTATTTTTTTTTCAAAAAGAGAAAAAAAAATCTTGAAAATAAAACCCCATCAATGACAGATACCTTAAAAGATAGCTTGAAACTGTAACTATAACTTGGTTCACTACATCTTTCCTTTAAAGAGCACAGACAGTACATAAGTTAATTCCTGGGTAACTGGTAGGTTCCTGGGGGCCCCCACCACCTATTTGCAGCCCCTGGAAATTTAATCTAGAGTTTAATCTAGAGTTTGGTGCCCGTGCTAGGATGAAACTATCCATCACAAATGTATTCTCGCCTCACCTACCTGAAAAAATATAGCGTTGCCATCCAGCCTCCAGAAATTGGTCACAGGGTATCCACTGTGCCCTCGACAAGGAATCAACTCCAAAGCAGAATGGCAGTTGGGACATGCTTTCTCTGCCAACCCCAGAGGGAGAAATGTTAGGAACAACCCCGACCTCAGACTCCCTAAAGAAAGGGGAAATTGGTTGGGAACCGAGAGCTCAGGACTCTGAGGTCACCCACTCCCTGGCCCGCGCCCTCACTCTGCTGTTTCAGCCTGGCTTTGTCACAGATGGCTGGTCGCAGCTGCAGGCTGGAGCCGTCGGGCAGGGCGCAGGCACGCGCACACACCACCACGCCCAGGCACGACTTCTTGAGGATGTGGCCATTGTGGTTGTTGGTGTTGCGCATGGCCCAGCCGCTCAGGTGGCGCTGCGCCTTCTTCTCCTCCCTGCTATAGATGTAGCGCACATAGCCATCGGGCCACTCACGGAAGTGGTCAAAGTGAGCCGGCTCCTGGGAGAAAGCGCGGAAACAAGAGTGACTCTTTTTCATGGAGCTCAAATCACATGCATCACGCTTTTAATTTTCTCCAAGCACATTAGAATAAAAAATGGGTTTTTGTTAAATGCAGAAATGTTGTAAAGCTCCCAAACTATGCTACAAGATTCCACTTACCCTATGTGTGCTTTTTTGACAACCAGCTAATAATAAATATTTGTATAGTACTTATCTTCTAAATGTTGTACATGCATTATCCTCACACCACATATAGGCAATTATGCCCATTTTGCAGAAAGGTTCATTGACTTGTCCAAGTTCACACCGCTAGAAAGACCTGGCTGTAGGCTTGACCACCCCAGACCTGCCTTGGACAAACTCTAGAGCCTGAGGTCTGAGTTCATTATCACTATGTCATTCCAGTTCTTGATGTATTCAAGTGTTGAAAACATTTTCAAGTTCAGTATCAAAATATCAGGGCAAAAAAGTAATTGGAATGCTCTATAACTGAAATGCAATTGAACCTGTAAATATCTTTAAGTCAGTATTTTTTCTTCAAAACTTCTTGGTTCTCTGTCCCAAACCTGCTAGTGGCACCCAGAACAATGTTCCCGAGACAAGGACAGTTTCCCCTCTCCACTCCTCACCTAACTGTGGCAAATTGTAAAAGGTATCCTGATGAAGGACCTAGCCATAATGATAAATCTTAAGCTTTGGGCTTTGGTGAGATTGCCATTCTTTTCAAACAAAGAGCCATATGCCTGAAATAATAAGTAATATCTAAAATCCTAAGCATTAATATACTGTGTGCATGTATGAATAGGTAACAACAAATCCCACTATTATACATAATTATGATGTACAAATGAAAATGTAAATACCATAAAAATAAATACTGAGCATTGCTTTAATACTCATATTTAAGAGTCTTTTTTTCTGTTTTGTGTATTATTTATACTGTGATATGTGTCTTTTTGTATTTAAGTTCAATATAAAATTACCCATCACCAAGCCTTTACCAGATACTCTCTAGGGCAATGGCCAGTAAACTGGTACTATTGACCAAATCCAGCTTGCTCCTTGTTTTTATATGGCCTCAAGCTAAGAATGATTTTTTATATTTTTAAATGGTTGTGAGAAAATCAAAAGAATTATATTTTGTGATGCCTGAAACTTACATAGGACTTAAATTACAGTGTCTGTTAGATTGGTTGGAGGATGGCCACATACATTCTTCTGTGTATTATCTATGGATGCTTTTGCAATAAAATTCAGAATTGAGTATTTGGGACAGAGACATCATGCATGGTTCAAATCCATATTCTGCAATATCTGTAATCCTCACAAAACTTTGCAAGATGAGCATCCTTACACTCATTTAACAGATAAGGAATCGGAGGCTAGACAGATAGTTTTCTGCAGTAGTATAGTTGGGAATTAAACAAAAGATCTGCAGCAGCCAGACCCTATTGATCTTACTGGTATAATAAAAGATCAGGAGAGTATGAACATAGTAGTGAGCCATTTGTAGCTCTTCGCCCTCCCACTACCTGGGAAAATTAGATTAAACATTTGCAAAGTCAAAGTATTCTCCGTTGGACAATTCAGAATTGTGTACATCATTAGTATTTCCCAGTCTAATAGTAAAAACATAAAGTGGTGATTTTATTTCCAAAACCACAAGGATACTGTTGAAGTCATTACTGTTAGTAATAGGCATAATTTATTTTTCTTTAAAACATTAGAATTGATATAAATTAACACACTGATTTAAGCTAATTAACAAATGGAATATATGATGATGTATTATCAAATCTAAGTTTATATTAACAGCACATCTGTTGGTTTTAAATGTAAACATTTAAAATTAAGGATCTTAGTATCAAATCAACAATTGTCCAGAAAAAAGAATGGCTCAAGTACTTCCTTTCTGGGTGCAGACCAGGCCTTCCTGTCTCACACAGCTCCTGAGGAAGGGGTGCTAGAGGTGCAGTCAGAAACTGTTTCTAAATCATACAACAGCAGAGGATGTCCAAGACTGGATTTCCTTTGCTGTGATACATTGGCATGTGTGTGTGTGTGTGTGTGTGTGAGAGAGAGAGAGAGAGAGAGAGAGAGAGAGAGAGAGAGAGGAGACTGGATGAGAGTTTGAGATTCTTATCTAGTTCTACCACTTGATGACAGGTCTGTAGCCTGAGACTAAGGTACATTCAAGGGCTGTATCAAGGTCATAGAGCCAGTTCAGTTCTCCCCCTCAGTCAGAGCAGGGCTAGAAGCTGTCTTTCCTTTCTCTTTTTATGGGCCAGTGTGCCTGTTCCTTTTGAGATGTTACACATACTCCCTGATTAAGAACCAGTCTTCCAAAGGAAAATAATTCATATTTACTAGAAAGTCTAGAAAATGCTGGAGGGATGAGCCACTGCAGAATTATGTTACAACACATATATACATTAAAAAAAAAGAGAGAGAGCAAACTGTAAGAAGCTACACTTCTGATTAACGAATTGCTATTCACCTGGCACATGATAAAGACTGAGTAAATGCCAAGTTTCTCACTCCTGCACCACAACTCTGCTGGAAAGTTGCTCAGAAAGCAACTCGCATTCTCCAGCCTGTCCACCTACACCCAGGACTTTCAAGTCACCCCTCAGTTTTGACCCAAATCAGTAAACCAACCATAACTGCCTGGCTCATTTCCTGCATGTAGCTCTAAACCACTTGGCTCCATTCAAACAAAACAAAACAAATTTACTAAAAGTGTGATGGTCTCCTTGTCATTAAAGAAGTGAGGTTTAGGAGAAAAGCCTTCATTAGCATGACCGTGGAAACTCCAAATAAGGCAGTGGGTTCTATCTAAACAAACTGCTCAAGTTGCCACCCCCATTTACAATCCTATCTTACAGCTTTGTTCCAGGAGAAGCAGTGGTATTTACATTTTCTGTGTTTCCCTCCTACATTTCTTCTGGGTTTTCCAATAAGCAGAAAAGGGGAGAAAGAACTGATTTCTACCATGGCTAAAGGCAAGGTGTCTTGCTCTCACTGGACTATTCAGAATGTGGAGCCCGATCCATATTTCCTACTGCTTCCAGCACGCCTTCAGATAAGCACAAGGTAACTGCTGGGAGTACACAAATCTCTAAATCCAACTTGGTCTTTTGGAGAGTCCAGAAAACTTTTCTCTACATTTGAGGGCTCTCAGAAATTGTGTGTGTGTGTGTGTGTGTGTGTGTGTATGAGTGTGTCTTCAGAGTCTCAGCAAGAACTTACATGCCGTTCCCCCTTCTTTGAACGGACAACGCCACGCGTGCTCGCACACACTCAGTTTCATTCACCTGAGGCATCTGCGGATCATTGATGTCCCAGTTGAGCTTCATCCCATAGGCGCACGCACGGTCCGTGTCCTGTGCTACCTCTGCCGGCATCTGCCCAGCCTAGCTCGCCTTCTCTTCCTAGGATCCTGAAAGATAGAAAAAACGAGAGGTGTGCAAGGTGATCCTCCCACCTTTAATAAGAAATCAGGTGTGTGTGAGAGGGAGCGCGCGCGCGAGCTGTTTAGAAATTCAGAAGCTGCAAGCTGCGGACTTGGATCGGGCGGAGCCCTGTCCTCAACTGCGGTGCTGAAATCTCTCCACCCAGAGAGCAGCAAGGGTCTGGCGGCTGTGTGCAAGTTTATAGAGATACACCCCTGCGGCTCCGCCTTTCCTCCTCGCTGCGCTCTCTAGCGCTCTTCACGAGAAGCAGGTCACCCCCTCCCGGATAGAGCTGGAAAGGAGGAGGAGGTTAAATCTAGCCTTTTTTGAATCAAGAAGAAACTGAAGCCAAGATGAGATGCAGTTAGAATATTTCATTTAAATTGCAAACCATTTTTTATTCCTAATTGCACCTCGGTCTCCGTGGTTTTGGAGAAGGCTTAGATCGAGGCTTTTGAAGCAGTGGTTTGCTAGCAAAGTCCCCCGAGAGCCCACACTCCATTCCAGGAGAGCGTGGGAACCTTGCGGCACTCTTAACCGCCAGCCACACGCCCAAGTCTGAATAAGCGTGCCCACACCTAGTGTGGGGCCGATTTGCTTTGAACCTCCGCTCTCGGCTCTTGCTGCAGCTGTTGGGCGAGTCAGCTGCTTGTCTGCACGGGACTTCGGAGGGGGCGCGGATGTCGCCGAAAGCTCGCTGGTGCACCCACGCTCTTGGGGCTGCAGAGTCCTGAATCCTGGAGAAAGTCCTGGAAAGTGAATCTGGAGGCGGTGGGGGTGAGATGAACACCGGGTAGATGGAGAGGGCGGTCGAAGTTGCGCTCTGCTGCAGGAGCTCAGAAGTCCGAAGAACCCTGGAACCTCGGCTTCCTTATCCGTTAAATAAAGAACCGAGTGGAGTTCCGCGAGGTTTCCGCTCAAGTCACCCACGTGAACGCAAATCTTAAAAAGAAATGTCTATTGGTATTGTGGAAATTCCCTTTAAAGAAATCTTTATTGATATTGTCGTGGAAATACCGCGGCAAATTCAGTTACTTCGTACTGTCTTGGAAGGCTTTTGGGCATTGGAGAACCCTTGCTAGGACAATGTGAGCCCTTCAGGACTGAGACGAAGCCTTCTTCCGATGTGCACCCGCCTCACTTCGGGCGATTCCGGCACCTTAGAGGCATCCCCCCCACCCCCACCCCAAAAAAAAGAAAAGAAAAGAAATCAATTGGAGTCACTAAAGTCGCTCTTTCGCTATCCCAGGGACGGATCCTAGGCGGCGAGAGAAGATGGTCATCCGGAATTTATTCCTAGATGTCTTGTTTGCAGTCGGCACGCTTCTAGTTCGAGCTCTAGCTCAGATCAACCCCTCAAGGCCTACAGCTGTTAGAGGAGGATATTCCCGACCCACGTCCCTCCAAATCCCGACCCTGGACCTTGGCACTTTGGAGCGCGCTCCAGGCGCAATGACCACAGCTGCTGGGAGACCTAGCCGGGAGGGCGCTGGGTGCGGCGCCTTTTGAGGATTAATCCCTTCGGTTGACAAAAGACTGGGAAACGAGGTGCGTTTTAAACCCAGGACCCCAAGAAGCCAAGGATCATTCGCCCACATTGTTAGCTTACCTCTGCAATCAAGGGCACCACATGTCTGCTCAGAAAAGTCAGTCCAAGAGCAAGGCACGCTTCAGAAAGCCCGCCAACCTCAATGGACCCGAGAAAAATCAATTGGGGGCAGATCCTCGCCTGCTTTCCTTCTAGTTTTAAGGTCAGGGCCTCGTCCCAGGGGAAGAGGAAACGTCCTAGAAGAAGGAAGAGATTTTTTTCATCCCCAACTTCTCCTGAACGGTCTTGTCAAGGCTTCAGGATAAAATCCCTCATTCGGAGGCATCACTAAGTCTGGGTGGGAATGGGAAAGATGTTTCTGCTCCTGTTCACACTTCCACCCACAAACTACCATCTCATTGACTGCGGAAGGTCCCTGTCATTCGGTTGCTTTTTTGTATTGCGTGTTCTTTCAAAATTAAATTAAAATTATTGACCAATTTTAAATAGATATTTCATTAAATGTGATAGTTTAAGATAATTTATATTTTAAATGTCTTAAAAACGATTTTGAAGCCGGGCGGGTGGCACAGCCTATAATCCCAGCAGGAGGACCACCAGTTCCAAGCAGACCTCAGCAACTCAGCGAAGCCATAAGCAACTTAGTGAGACCCTATGTGAAAATTGGGGAAAAATAATTAAAAGGAGGTGGGGTAGCTGGAGATATAGCTCAGTGATAAAGCACCTATAGTTCAAACCCCTGTACCAAAAGAAAAAAAAAAAAGACTAAAAATAGTCATTCACCATTATCTCTGAGAATACATAGACATTAATTTCTGGTGGTAGTGCAAACATTGTTGGAATATTTCTTTCCTCCATGTTTTTGAGATGTCCCTAGAAAGTCATGACCCTTCAAAAATATGTGTTTTGTACTGAAGATTGATCTCAGGGGCACTTAACCATTGAAGCACATCCCCAATCCTTTTTTAAAATATTTTATTTAGAGACGGGGTTTCACTGCATTGCTTAAAACCTTGCTAAATTGCTGAGGTTAGCCTGGAACTCTGGATCCTCCTGCCTCACCCTCCTGAGCTGCTAGGATTAAGGCATGCACCACTGTGGCCGGCATATGTAATTTTTTAACATTAAAAGTAAATCAATTAACTTGTAAATGGATTCTGTTGTTCAAAAAGGGGAAATTCACAGAACCTTCAGCATATTTAGTTTGTGAAGTATTAGAATATATATTCCAAGTTACCCTGAAATACGTCTGAGTAAATATTATTAGTAAAAGAAGCTAACCAATGTAAAAATATAAGTAAATAAGTATTATTATTTTTATGATGTTGTTTTTAATATCTCATGAAGATTGAATACATTGATACTATAGAGTTTTGAAGGCTGTATTTTCCCTCAAAATCTGAAAAAGGTTGATTTTGAAGTTTTCTATTTAAAATTAAAAAAGTTAATTTCATATTAAATGCATTTAAACTATATTTGATTGTTGTTTTTACTATGCTTTAATTCTTTCCTGCCCTAACATTAGCATGGATTTAGGGTTTTTGTTAGTTTCTGTTTTTTATACTGGGGATTGACACCAGGAATGCTTTATCACTGAGCTACATCCCATTTCCTTGTTTTCCCTTTCTTTTTCTTGTCTTTTATTTCTTCTTCTTCTTCCTCTTCTTCTTCTCCTTCTCCTTCTCCTTCTCTCTTCTTCTTCTTTCTGTTTTAAAGAGTCTTGCTAAATTGTTCATCCTCCTTGCCTCAGGCTCCAGTGTGCCCCACCTCGCTGCAATTTAGGATTTTTAAAATTCACAACTGTGCCTGTTACTAGTTTAAAATTATGAGTCCATTCATTCAAAATGAAAGGAAGGAAACTTTAAATTTTGTAAATTTACATTAAAACAAATAGATTAACGAAAGTGTCGTTACAACATGTTTGCCAGGAAACAGACGGGTCTATAGTTGACAGAAACATCGTTTTGAATAGACTGGACGTGCCAAGTCCTGGCTTAGTAGCAAGGATTTTGGTTTTGTGTTTGTTTTCGTGTAGATAAATTTCTTCTGTAAATAGCACAACATGAAGTACAGCGGTTAGGGATAAATGTAAGTCGAGTTTTACACAAGGAATGTTTGGCGTTTTGTTTTGTTTTAGAGGAAACTCAAGTCATTTATTTTTACCGCGGTGTTCAGATCACAGGCCACCTACCCAGGGCAACTTAGCAATTAGCACGCACAGGTTAAGTAAGCGGACACAAAACAAGCTGAGTGTTTGCTTTATTTTTAATTACCACCCCGTCTCCAAGGTACTTTAAAATGCAAAGGAACAGAAAGCACCTTTTTGTGATGCCAGGAAAGTGTTCCGAATATCGGGTACAAACTGTTCCTATGCGAAACGGTTCAGCTGTGGTCAATACACATAAAAGGACCAAAACCAGCCCCTCGGTCCGTGGGCCAAGAAGAGAAAGCCTCACCCGGCGTGTAGCGCAAAGGTGACGGCCATTAGTTTGGATTTTTGCGCACACAATGTTGATCAAAGGTGTTCGCGTCTTTTGCGCGTTGATTTTCTCTTAAGGAGCGTGTGCGTGCGCGCAGATGGCCTGGCCACGAGCGCTAGTTACTCGCACGCGTTTCTTGAATCTCCAGCACCTGGGTCTAATAGATTTCAGGAGCAGGTTCATTCAATTAGAGATCCTGGAGAAGATTCAAATCCAAGAGCCATCCTGCGCCTCAGACCCTCACCGCAGCGCTCCCAGCCGGCAGTGATCTCGGGCCACTGAACTGAGTGTGTGGAGCGTGGCGGAGCGCACCGCCCTGAGTCTTGGGTCGAGTGCGGCGTAGGCTCCCAGGCGTCGGGATGCCAGCGGTGAGTGACCTACACCCGCGCACCGGGGGCGCCGGTGGAGCGGGTCCCAAGTCTCCAGAGACCAGGCACTGGGTACAGTCTTAGGCTGCTGCTGGGCAAATCCTTCCCGAGGCTCCTTGAACGCTTCAACCTCCTTCTGTTCTCTGGGAGTTTATTGGCAGGTTTCAGTAGAAGAATGAGACAGGGCAGAAATCCTGTCTGTCAGTTACAGCGCCTGGGGAAGAAACTGCAGGATTCATATTTGGAAAGCAACGCGATGTTTTATTCCAGCTCCTCAAGCTTTTTCCCTTTTGTGCGTAGAAAGTTTCGGTTGACCTTCACCTGCTGGGCCCCAAATCTGCATTCCGAAATGTTGAGAATTTATTTAACTCCAAGAAAAAGGATGCCCCCTAAGACAGCCAGAGGGCCTTGGTACCCCCAGAGCTCCAATTTATCAGCATTTAACTAGCATTGACGGCTGTTGGGGAAAAATGGCCCAGGTCTGGGTTAGGGTCTTTGACCTCACCCTATTTTTCATGTTTGTAAATGATAATATGGTAAAATACACTGACATTCAAGAATTTTGGTCAAATGCATAGAAGTGTACTGTTTGTCCAAACTAGATTCAGAAGATACTTTTTTAAAATTTTTTTAAGATGCTTTTAGACCTATATTTGTTCATTTATTTATATGCGGTGCTGAGAATCGAACCCAGTGCCTCACACACGCTAGGCAAGCGCTCTGCCACTGAGCCACAACCCCAGCCCCTTTAGAAGATACTTTTAAAAATAGTTTGTTTGGGCTGGGATTGTGGTTTAGTGGTAGAGCACTCACCTAGCATGTGTAAGGCACTGGGTTTGATCCTCAGCACCACATAAAAAAGTAAATAAACAAAATAAAGGTATTGTGTCCATCTACAACTAAAATAAGTAAATAAGGCTTGTTTGTATTATGCTTTTCAATTGTTGGCATGAAGGGAGATCAGATACTGTTACTCAATGTGGCCTAACAATGTTTAAAGTCAGAATAGTGGATCAGGGATCACTTCCTGAAGAAAACAACCTACTACTAAATGTTTTGGATACTTCTTTAGTGGTGGTTGGTGTTTGATCCTTGAAATTTCAGTATAGAAGCCCCAACATTGAAAAGTTGCACATTGCCAATACAAAGCTTAAACTAAGGCTGAGCTGGAGAGGCACTTTTTATTTTAATTTACAAGTTCTGATTCTGAAAATGGTTTAATTCAAAGCCTTTAATTTACAGTCACCAGTATAGAATTTAAATTTGTTATGGGCATTTATTCAAATAATGTCTGCTTCTTTCGATAGTCTGCATTGCGCTAAAGGAAGCCGGATAATATTTATTTGCAGCTCAAGAGGCTTAGACGGGAGGATCATGAGTTCAAAGCCAGCCTCGGAAACAGTGAAGTACTCAGCAGCTCAGTGAGACCCTGTCTCTAAATTAAAAAAAAAAAGAAAAGCTAGGGATGTGGCTCAGTGGTTGAGTACTCCTGAGTTCAATCCAAGGTCATCTGCCCCCCCTCCCCCAAAAGGCACTGTTATTGTGCTGGAACTGTTGCTCAGTGGTTGAGTGCTTATCTGGCATGGACGTCCTGGATTTGATCCCTAGCACCACAAACAACAACAACAACAAAAACCCATGGTCTGTCTTACGCTGTAATCAGCATCTTGAGCAAACAAAAAGTTTCTATTCAAATAAACAGTATAAGCCTTTATTTTTAGACCTTGAAATAGAATTCTTCGAAATAAAGTGTGTGTGTGTGTGTGTGTGTGTGTGTGTAACATCTTTTTTATTGCACACAGAAAAATGAAGGTCCTTTGCAGTCTGTTAAGGAAGATGATAGTGTCGGGAAGAACCAAGATGCTTTCTGGGTAAAGATCAAGTTTATTTTGTATTCTTTGGTAGTTCTGATGGGTCATTAGCCCCATTGTTTCTCAAGCCAGAAATCCTTTTTTGTTTCTTCTTCCCTAATCTCCCATATTTAATTCATTTCCATGTCTAGCTGATCTTACCTCCCACTGTCCTGACACCTTAGTATAAACCATCTTGCACCAAGGGAGCATTATTCCAGGTGAAAGTAGATAATATCAAACAAACAAAACACAGTTCCTACCCTCGTCAAGCTTACACTGGCTGAGAGAAAAAGAAACAGACCAACAAATAATCACGCAATGGTAAAGAAAAGGGCAGGGTATTGTAAATGGGGTTGTAAGGAGGCACATGGCTCACTTTAGAAAAGGTGGTCCTGAAAGAGCTACCCCAGAAAGTGATACTTAGTCTGAGAATCACCATGGTGAAAATGGTAGAGAGCAGCAGTCTAGGGATCTAACTGCTAGTGCAAAGGCCCTGGGGCAACGGAGACTTTGATTTATTCTCAGACACATTAGTAGGGAAGTCGGAGAAGTTGGCAGAGATTAGATCATGTAAAGGCCTGAAGGATAAAGGGTTTGGATTTATTCTGAGTTTGGGGGAAGAGATGGTGGAGACTTAAGTAGGCGAAAGCATGAAGTTTTGAGTTGAGGTCTGAGTATGAATCTCACTTGAATGATCTCCTGAAGGTCTGTAACCTCCCCCATCCTGGCTATTTCTCCAGAGGAAGACTAACTTCAGGGTGTTAGGGAGGTCTCAAAGGGGGAGCATTTGAGGAGTCCTTAACACATTTGGCACAAAAAAAAAATTCGCTATGTGGTGATTTAAGAGAATATTCTGTTGTGCTGGGCTCAGTGTTGCATGCCTGTAATCCCCAGCAACCCAGGAAGATGGTGAGTTCAAGGCCAACCTTAGCAACCTAGAGGGGCCCTAAGCGACTTAGCAAAACTCTGTCTCAAAAAAGGTCTGGAGATGTGGCTCAGTGATTAAACTCCCCTGGGTTCAATCCCAGGTACCTCCTCCCCCCCCCAAAAAAAAATTGAAATGGAGTAGTTTCAAATGCTGTTTCTTTATTTAAACCTGCACTAAGAATTAGAATTTTGAATTAAATATAGTAAAATACCTCCTTACTAAAATAGCATTGTATATTATAATTTGGACTATACAACTGGACTGGGTTTTCTTTTAAACTGTCTTTTGTAGCATAACTACTTAAGGAAATGTCTGTTATTCAAGTGAATGGTCTCCTTTGGCTAATATTCAGGAAAAAAAGATAGTTTTGTATGTCAATTTGCATATTTGTCAACTTTCATCGTACATAATTCTTAGTTTTATTTTTCTTCTGTTATTTAAGTATTCCTAGGCTTGCATTTCTTTTTAGAATTTGCAACATTTCTGAGCGTCTTTTGATATCTATAATGGAAGTGCAGTTTCCCTTAAATCTGTAGTTCTCAAGTTTTAGCAGGTGTCAGCAACCCATGGAGCTCAGCTTACAAGTCTCTGAGCTCTCATGGGACCCCAGGTGATGCCAATGCTTAGGGTGAACTGGGACTCACATTCTGAGACCTCTGCCTGAAGCCAATGGAAAGATCAATCATTTAAGTGATGGTGGACTATTGAAGACAGATTTTTATTCTATATTTACCCGCATTATTTCTTGCTGACTGATTAGTATTGATATTAGTTAGAAATATTACTATAAAACAGATGTTCTTGAGTAAAAAAAAAAGTAACTCAAACGATTACTTTTCCAGCTTCAATCACTAATTATTGACGCATCAAATAACAAAGGATTTCAGAAGATAAAAGAATTTTTTGAAGAGAAAGAGAGCTACCTTCCTCAAAAATATAATCATCTTCTGTTACACCATCTTGACAGATCAATAAATAAGGCAAGCCGGTTATTTCTTTGGGGGCCAAGATACCAATGTACAGCTACTTGCAAGAGCTTTAATTTGGTGTGATCTACTACCTAGGAACTGGATAAAAATGAATTTCAGTATGTTTCACTGTTGCTGAAATGTATTCAGCAATTCTTCACAGACGACCCCAAGGAAAAGGAACCCTTGCTAATTCAGCAGGGACTGATCTTGAAGATAAGTGCTACACTTTTAATTTCACATGACTGGGTAACCTTTAGTGTGAGGGGTAGTGGGGATGGCTCAGTGGCAGGTGAGTGTGCAGAAAGTGTGTGGATCGAGTCCTCAGCACCACAACACAGAAATTACTGTGGATTGTTAAGTTGCTGGTTAAGTTTCTGATCCTTTGAAACCAAATATGAAAAGGAATTGGTGTCCATTCTTATTGCTTTCCAATCAAATTAAATTCAACCCACATCTCCTGTGGTTTTTCTGGGCAGAGTACATTTCGAGTAGACAGGATCAAGTCAGACACAACCCTTCTCCTTGATAAGCCTGTGCACAAGTGGCCTGTCTTCAGTTATTTTAGTGAAATTAAGGAAGATGGGATGAGTAGACATAGGCTCTAAAAATATTTTAATAGACTTTATTAACAAGGTTGGACCTAGGAAAAAATCATCAAACTTCCTTTCAATACCTCACTCTGCCTGCTTTCTAAACCCCTGGATGAATCTGAAAAACAAAAACATTTGCTTTTTGGTTTTATTTAAAGTCACTCCAGTTATAAATTTTATTTTTTAAAAAAACTTAATGAGGAGGGAACGTTACAATCACCTTAATGAGTCACACCAGGAAGGAAAGCAGAGTTCTCAGTCCTCACTGCAGCTGGTTCATGGTGAGGTTTAGCAGACCCCGGATGGTGTGCTAGAGGTGGGGAGAAGGGCAGGCGGTGTAGTGGAGGGATGATCTCGGCCCTGGAATATATTAAGACCAGGTTGGGCCAAGAAGACCTGTCTCTGCCCCTTTTCTACTCTCACATACCAGTAATTATGGGGCTGCCCCTTTGGGGCGGGGGGGAGTAACTTCCAGGCTTTACCAAATTCCTGGGGTGGGGGACTTTTAAAATGTTTGCAAGGGACTTTTAAAGACTGTTTTCATTTTGCATTTAATTCACTTAATGCCCTGATACACTGATGTATATAACAGTAGCAGGGAAGAGGGATGTCCTAAGGGTACTTTAGAGTTTAAGCTGATTTTATTTTTAAGTGGAGGTGGAGGGGGTTGGAGGGTAGAGGAGTGGGAGTTGAGTTGGACTATGTATCTGCTGGATTTTCCTATTTAGATTGCCTTTCCAGAGTTTAAAAACATGCTATATCAAAATCCTCATTGGATTTTAAAATCAAATTGGAATTTCCACATTACATTCAAGTTCTAGTTGGTGATGGTAATTTAATGATTAGGCACCTTCTAAAACATCTTTATTTCATGTAGGTTTTGTGCCAAAGAGAACAGATCCATATTATCAAAAAGATTGGGATATTAGAGTCTGTACTTCAAAGCCAGTTGTTGGCAGGGTCAACACAGTGTGCTTGGAAATTATTCTACTCCATCGAATTACAGGATTTCCTGTAGAGAGGAATGAATTTTGTCCTGTACCCTGAGTCCAGAAAGATTAAGCAATTTGTCTTACCCCATGTTCCTAAGTCATTGCTCTTTTGTCTAGCTTCTGGTAATGACACAGCTGTGGGGACAGCCAGGGTACCTGCTAGATGATGTATGATCATGGCACATAAAAAAAGGGTTAGCAAGTACTTCTACTCCCAGGTATTGATAAACTAATGTATTTTCCCTGCTTCTGTATATCTAACAATTGCTGGAAAGGAGGTATGCTTGGAGAGAGAGATGGAATGATAACAAAATATATTTAAAACCACAGAATTTTGAGCATGAACATAAGAAGGAAGGTATAGCTTTAACCTTGAGTCCTGCTGGAGAGGGGGACATTTCTTCCCATGGGCAGTCAGAGAGCAATTTGCTTCAGAAGGTGAATGATTTAATGTATGTATTTGTCTAATGTGAGATAAAAGAAACTTAAAACAGTGCTGACTCTCAGACCTGGCTGTATGTCACAATCACCCAGAAAGTTTTTACAAACACTCCCTAGAGGACCTGTCACCAAGGATTCTGATTTCTAGGGTCCAAGATAGGTCCTAGGCATTGGAATTTTCATACCTGTGTTTTTCTGATATGTAGCCAGAGTTGAGAACTGATTGACTTATAAAGCAGTAAAGCAAGGATGCCTTGGATTCTTGTCTAATGTGCACAAAACTTCAAAGGCCCTGTGCCAAAGGTAGTTGTTCATCAAAAGCTCCTGTGGCTAACTTTATATTCATCTAATGATTTCTAGGTATGCATGTTTTTCCCCCATGAGTGATCAGTCTTAGCAAAAAATGGTCCAGAGGTGTCCTTTGCTTGATAAAGCAAATGCATCTTACAGGGAGGTTATGGAAGTTTATTTTAAATCAGACCAATGTTAGCAATTCAATGTGAAAGTGGATATATAGTCCTATAGGAAAAAAAAAAAAAACTTAGCTAAAAGCTTTTGACAAAAGAAAGGTATCGAAGCCTGAGGCACAGTTACAGTGACCTTGAGTACTGCAGGAGCACTTCTCTTTTTTTTTTTTTTAACTACAATGCTGGGGATTGAACTCAGGGTCTCTTTCCCACTAGGCAAGTGCTCTACCATTGAGCCAAGTCCCCAGCCCTGCAAATTTTCTTTGATAGTTTTCTATAGCTTCTCAGATCCACAAGATGTTCCTCTGGGTGGGGGAGGTTCATTCATCTCTTAAACTTTCCTCACAAACCCCTTTATGTGAATTTCTGGCTTGGATCCTGGCCAAGTCTGTCTGTCCTGCTGAGCTCAGATAACTTATTGTAGTCAAGTAGCCGTTGGACACCATTCTGATGTTCTACGTGGGGGGCCTCGGAGCCAGGCCTGAGTTACTAGGGTATGAGCAAAGGTCTTTAGGATGATTTTGCTCGAGTGAGAGAATTATCTTGTGAAGTTTTATAGCACAGGCGGTAGGTATTCAGTCTCACCGGGTTCCATCTGTGTTTCTTCCCATGTACCTGGTTTCCTGGTTTGAGAGAACAGTGGGATTTCTGACCATAGAAGATGTAGCCTCAGATGTTTCACTCACTGACGTTTTAGAGGACTTCTTTGACACTGTGCTGGTAAGAGTGGACACATGCTTCATGGAGCAGATGCCACAGGTACTGGGAAGGAAACTGATCATGACTCTTGGCTTTTTATAAGATATGTGTTTAATGAAAAGACTCCCATGTTTTAGAACATTATGTGAAATAGTAACAAACATTAATATGCAACCAATAGTATAGAAAACTGATTTATTTTTACACATACAACTATATTATCTACCAGATTAAAGATGATACGCTCATTTTAATAAAGTGAAGCTCCAATAGATTTTCTTGGAGAATTTTCTTTTGGGTTTAAAGCTGACTCTTGCCTATTAGGAAAAATTAGCACTTATTAGTGTTACAGTGTATAATGCCATTTTAGAATATGAGCTGTATCTTTTTTTTTTTTTTTCCAGATTATTTCCAGGAGTAGTAGTGAAGGTAAGTAGGGTTTTGGCTACTAATATTTTGGTAAAGAGAAAATGTTTAAATGATATGCATGATAAAATGTTTAAATGATATATGAAGCAATAACTTTATATTTGAATTTATGGGCTACTTTATGTAGTCAGATTTTGATGCCAGCATGCATTTTGTTATAGAGGATATCTGGGTTTGCCCGAGATGTTTTTATGTGGCTGCTGCTGTCACGTTTGGCTATTTTCCTCTATGTAGGTAATGGAAGGTCGTTCTTGTCATTCCGAACCAGCAAAAGTTCAGTGCTATGATTTGAATGTGGTTTGTCTCCCAAGGGTTCGCAAATTGGCAAGTTGGTCTCTACCATGCTTGGTCCCCAGTGTGGCAGTAATGAGAAGTGGTAGATCTTTTTTTTTTTTTTTAAAACCTTTATTTTGCTTATTTTTATGTGTTGCTGAGGCTCGAACCCAGCACCTTGCGTGAGTTAGGAGAGTGCTCTACCACTGAGCCACAACCCCAGCCCCAGAGAAGCAGTGGATCTTTAAGTGGTAGGCAGGGCACAGCTCTCATGAAGGCAGCAATGCAGGTCTTGGGGTTTGGATTCATTCCTGTGAGAAAGGGTCTTTACTAGAGTTTGGCTTTTGGGTCTTAATTGACTGCTTCCTGTCTGGCCATGTGACCTCTTCTGCATGTCTACTCCATCACTGTGATGCCATCTACCATGAGGTCCTCACCAGAGAGCTGCAGAAGATGGCATCATGTTCTTGAACCTCAGGACTCAGAACTGAATAAACTTCTTTGTAAAGTACCCAGCCTCGGAGATTTTCATTATAGCAATAGAAAGTGGACTAGACACAAACTGGCTAAAGGGACCAGTTTATGGAGTCACCTGATCCTTGGAATATGACCTCTTTGCCAAGGGGACGAAACACTGTAGATGGCTGCATTAATCTTCTCTGGCTGCCATAACGAGATACCAAAAACTGAGTGGCTTAAGTATTTACTTCTCAGTTCTTATTTCTCCCAGTTCTGGGGTGTGAAGCTGACATTGGGGTGCCAGCAGAGTGGGGCTCTGTGGGAACTCTTCCTGTCTTGCTTTGTCCTCACATGTGGTGAGAGCCAGATTTTTCTCTGGTGTCCCATCTTATCAGGCCTCATGAGGGTGTCACCCTTAGGGCCTTATGTAGCCTACCCAAAGGCCCCCTCGAAAATGCCTTCTCACTGGGGGTAAAGGCTTCAAAATAGGAATTTTTGGGAGTGGAAGTGGCAGGTTTTCACATGTAGTGGCTGACAGGTGTCTTGCATGAATGTCTGGGCTCTACAGAGTTGGCCTAATCCCTCTCTGAAGTAGAAAGGGTCTTCACTGATCTCCTTCCCAATCCTCCTGCCATTGATAGTTCATCGCTCTTTCCCATTGATGTTCGGTTTATTACATGTGTTCTGTTTTTGTGATTCTTTTGATTTGTGTTTTGATGTGTGGATTGTTTTCCTTCTCAGTTCCTCCACCTGATGTTAATGATTTAAAATGTTTATTTCTTCCCCACTGTCTACTTTTAGGTCCATATTATGCAAATATTTGTAAATATTTGCAGCTATTTGTAAATATTATGCTCTGTCTTGTGCTGCATTCTGGAGTTCTATTCCATTATGGCTCCAACTGCTGCAATATCTTTTGAAGAGCATTATGGTGTGTGGTTGGAACATGGTCAGGGCTTTAGATCACTTGAGGATGTCTCTCTTTTTGTTTCCCAGGATTGAACCCAGGGCTGCTTAACCACTGAGCCACATCTCCAGCCCTTTTTATTTTCTGTTTTAAGATGGAGTCTCACTTAAGTAGCTCAGGGCCTTGCTGAGTTGCTGAGGCTGGCCTTGCACTGGTGACCTCGAGGATGCCTTTCTGGCTTCTCTACAATATTCTGACTCTGCAGGCTGCCCCCCTTATAACCCATTTTTGTGGTCTTCTGATATTGAGTTGCGAGTATGAATGCATCTGTCCACAAACACAACTGTTTTGCATGGTTCTTGGTGAGATTTGAAATCTTTAGCTCAGGAAAATTTGTTCTTTGATAATATTTATCAGAGTAGAGTTGCTCATCTTTGGCACTATTGAAGTTTTGAGCCAGATTATTCTTTGTTTTGGGGGTGCTTGTTATGGTTTGTATGTGAGGTGTCCCCAGAAACTCATGTGTGAGACAACATGAGAAGGTACAGAGGGGAAATGATTAGGTTGGGAGAGCCTTAACCTAATCAGTGAATTAATCCCCGATGGGATTAATTGGTAGCTGGAGGCGGGTGGGTATAGCTGGAGGAGGTGGGGTATTGAGGGCGTTTCTTTGGGTATATATTTGTATCTGGAAAGTGGAGTCTCTGCTTCTGCTCATCATGTGAGCTGCTTCCCTCTGCCACTCTCTTCTGCTATGATGTCCTGCCTCACCTCAAACCCTGAGGAATGGAGTCTGCTGTGTGCAGATTGAGACCTGTGAAACAGTGAGCCTCCAAATAAACTTTTCCTTTACAATCGTGGTGCTCGGGTCTTTTAGTCACAGCAGTGAAAAAGCCGACTTGAACTGTGTTCAGTGTATCCCAAGATGTTAGGCAGTACCCCTGGCCTCTACCCACCAGATGCCAGTGGCAATCCACTCCAGAATCGAGACAACCCAAATGGATCTCCAGACATTGCTAAGTGTCTTCTGGGGGACAACCCCCCCACCACCTCTAGTTGAGAACCATTGGAATTGGGTGCTTTCGGGGCATGGAACAGTATGTAGTTCAAATAGGCTTAAATAAAAACTTATTGGCTCAAGGAACTTTAAAACATGAGAGGCAGGAAGCTCCAGGGCAGCTTGGTGGGGGCTCTGCTGCACTTCTCTGCAGTTCTTTCAAGACTACCTTACTGCTCTGTGGTTTCAAGTTGTTTTCCGGGGGGCGGGGGGTTTGAAGAATAGCTATCAGCAATTGGGGCTCCATGCCCCTGATTCACATCTAGGAGAAGAGCAGTTGGCTTTCCCCAAACAGCAAACAAAAGACCTAACTTTGCTCTCGATGGATGCTAATGCTCCCCAAAAGAACCAATCACTCGAAGAATGGGGTGCTGTGTACTCTCAACCAACCGGGATTCACTCCCACAACTGGTCAGTCCCACCCAAAGGCCCGACTGCTCCCTAGGAGGAGGGAAAGATGATGCGAAAGTCCATTAATTGCCTTTTCTGTTCCCCTGTTTGTAAGATCATCTATTTTTCATTTGTGTTTCGTCTTCCTATGCCTCACCACCTCATTCATCTTTTTCCTCTCTGAATTTTATGTGTTTTCAAGTTTTTCTTGGAAGCCACTGCTTCAATTCTGCTCTCCTTGCCTCTGCAGTAGGCTGGATTCTGCCATCGGGCGTCTCCCCCTGCACACCCACGGGCGGTGGCCATCTGCCTCTGCTCTTGGGACCATTCCTCACTCATTGCGCTTGATTTTGTGCAGTCCTGTTTCCTTGGGGGTTCTTGCCTATTGCAGTCTGCTGGTCATAGGGTGTGAAACGAGCAGGATGGAGCAAACGGGCCATTTCTCATCCGCCCTCTCTTCCGGTGTCATCTCTGGAAGTACCTGCAGAGTCCCTGGGGCCTGTTTGCTGCATGGTCTCAGTTCCTGGGATCTGGTAATTCTGCTTCCTCCTTCAGCCCTCGGGAATGGGGATAGGAGGGTGGTGACCTCCTGCTGTATTAATCTCTGGGTTGCCACATTGGTCCCACTTTGGTTTCTCAGTTCTTCCTACTCTTCATAACTAATTCCCTCTAGCAAATTCCCTGGGATTGAAAGGTCTAGAATGGCTTTGATTTTTTTTTTTAATTATTCATGGTTAATTCTGTTTACTTCTGTTTTCATTTTGGACTACTGCTTTCTCTCCTAAATCAAATTTCTTGTATAATTCACCTTTGTGTGTGTGTGTGTTTGGGCAGGATGAGTTGGATGTTTTTAAAATTTTTGTTTCCAGAGTTTTCCAAAAATCACAAAACTTTCCTGCTTGTCTGAACTAGCCAAGTTCCTCTTTTCCCTTTTCATAGGGTCATATAATGTTATTTTTCTCTTGATGCTTTTAAAATGAAAATGTGGAATGGTACCTGGTATTTGCTAACAGGATACATAGACACCTTTAGAATCTTATACTATCCGGCTGGGCTCTGTTAGAAGCTTTCCTTTGGATTTTAAGCTGGTAGGCTCAGACTCTAGCCAGGTTTCTGGTTTCCAGAGATTATCCTACTGATGCAGTTTGCTTGGGTTGAGGAGAGGTCTTTTATATTTTTACTTCCTGGTTTGGATTCCCATAATTTCAGGAGCTACTTGAGTTGAAAAGGATACACTTTGTAATAATCCACATATTAAACATACATTTGGACATATGAGTTATACTATGACCTTACTGTGAGTCTTTGCAGTATGCAATATTGTCACTTCATATCTTAACATGCATAAATGAAACCATTGATAATAGTTTATTTAATAAGCCTAAGATAGTATTACATACCCTGTTCTTTGTGTGTACTGATATAGATGGCTTGAAGTTTCTCTGGTTGTGTTATTTAATAAGGGCCAATATTTTATTTTAAAAAACCCTGCTTCTCTTATCGGTGCTTGACCTTTTAAGATTTGTTTATTAAAACACATAAAAAGCATGAAGAAACAAGTGGAAAATACAGGACCTGCACTTTGCCTTTTGGTACCTGGGAGTAATCTAGGTAGCTTTGCTCAAAGTTTGATCACAATAAAAAGGTACTTTGTATATGCTGTTATTTTCCTTTGTGGGTGTCTGTGTAAAACAAGTCTATCATGACCTGGTGATTCTATAACTTGAAGCTTTCTCTAATACGTCCCCTGCCCATGATAATATCATTCATATAAACTATATATATGATTTTTTCCTGCATTATTTACTTCTCCTGTAGCTCCCAATCTGTTCCTCTTTCTGCTGTCTAGGATTAATTTCCTTATTCTTTTTCACATGTATTAGATTATTTTAAAAATTATACTTTCAGGGAAAATCCAGATGTTGGATTCCTTCATACTCAGCTTGGGATTCCTGGTAATAGAAAAAACTGTAAAGTTCTCGATTCAACAGGAGGTAAGTTGCAGATAACAAAACGGGCAGCAGTTGCTTTCAGAAAGCTTGGAGGAAGTCCTGTGTGTAGGTAGGCCTCTGTGTTGTTCCTTCTCCCCAAACGCCTTCTTCCATTCCAAAAAGGCTCTGAAGACTATGAACTACATTTTGCATGGTGTGTCTTCTGCAGAGAGAAGAAAGTTCCCTTTGTCGGAAGGCACGTGTCATCTTATGTAAGTGACCTTGTATTTGGTTATGTGATTTCTCAAGGGCAAATTCTCTCGTTATACTACTTTGTTCCCCTTAGACCGAATTACTTCACTCCTCCCTTTAGTAAGTGCTTTGTGTACCTAATAGATATCAGGCCCTGTGCTAGGCAGTGAAAGATGGAGGGAAAAGGGTGGATGTTGCTAGACTCTTCTTGTTTCCTAGTACAGGGATTTTTTTTTTTCTTTGTTGCATTGAACTTTGAGACAAAATGCTTTCTTGGGCTATGGATAATTTTTTGACAGTGAACATGACCTACCTTAATGACTCATGGAAGAGTGTCCAGAACATGGACCTAGAGCCAGGCTGCTTGGTTTTGAGTCATGGTTTTGCCACTTATGCAAGCTGTGCATGAGCCACAGTCGTAACCTTGCTCTCCCTCAGTTTACTTGCCTGTGAAATGGAGTGAAAAATAACTCTGACTCCATTGTTGTTGTAAAGGTTAGATCAGGCAATCCCATTTAAAGTGATTAGCATATTACCTGGTAAAGACTGAATGCTCCAAGATTACTTTGCTTCAGCTAAACCAATAGGGTATGAAATTTGTACTCCTTTTCAAGTGATAGATTTTTTTGGTTGATGTTCATTTTTTGAAGATCCAGTTGCAGTTATATAGTTTCTGGGTTGTGAAATATGGAGGTAAGGTTGTAATATATGACACGAAGGAAAGAGTAAAACTACCTTTCTTTGAAATTTGAACCTGAATCCATGGTTTTGTGACCCACTAGGACCATGAAGATCATCACTATGACATCCCACCATTCATGTGACAAAGCCATGACCCAGGTGTTCACCATAGTGCAGGGTCTGGAAGAGGTGATTGGCAGGTGTGGCGATTCCTGCCTTCATGTTTGCCTATTTAACTAGTCTTTTCAGGATATAGTTTTTCCACTGAATAAAAAATAAACCATTTATATTGAATACATTAATGAAATCAGTACCCTTTAAAAAATACATATATATAAAATAAAATTTTTAGTTGGAGATGGACACAATACATTTACTTTGTTTAGTTTGTTTATGTGGTGCCAAGGATTGAACCCAATGCCTCACACATTCTAAGCAAGCTCTCTACCACTGAGCCACAAGCCCAGCCCATGAAGTCAGTACTCTTAATGGTATACTTAGGTTTGGATGGTGGCTGACTGATGTTTTCAAGTTTCCAAACTAATCCTAGAAAATCTAGAATGTTCTGGACTCCAGGTCAAAGGGAGAACTTGCAAGCATAAAGAGAACTCTCAGTGGTTCTGACTTAAGGCTTATATTTAATAGTAACAAATTGGTTCATTTATTATAAGAAATGGAAATAACACAGGGTTCTTAATAAGTCTATTCTTTAAAACATATTTTTAGACACACAGTCAAAAACTCTAAAATGAACAAACAATATGGAAAATTCTAAAATGAATATATAGTAGCTTAATTCCATTATATCTTTTAAGTTGATCATTTTTGAAAATCAGATCAAACAGCACATAGTATAGACCCAGAGTACTAGGTGTCAAATTATGTAAAATGATATAAACCCTCATAGACTGCTGAAAGGATTGATCTTATAACTCCAGAGCTGTATTAGATAAAACCTTAGATCACCAGATTAAAGTAACTTCATAGAGAATGAAATAATAAAACTTCAAAAAGTGTAGTGGCTCCAAGCTTCACACCCACAAAAACCCCGTGTAATTAACATATAAACTTGAAGATTTTTTCACAAAAATGTAATATGATCCATGTGAAAATTCTGATGGTTTGAAATTGCTGCAAAAATATGTCTTGGTCTTAAAATGTGATGCCCATCTGATTAAAAAAATTTTACCTCTTGCTCTTCATTTCAATAAAATATGTTCTATCTAAATGTTTCAGGAAGAACCTGGCATGGACAATCTTGACTGTGGGTGGTAAGAATTAGTTCAAGTTTTAAATACTTAGAATATTAAATATTGGACACCATTTTAAAAATGAGCATCTTGAATCAATTATGGTCAAATTAAAGATAATTAAGATTCTACTTTTAGTTTGAGAAAATTAAAAACTATTAATAAGTAGAAATGCATTTACTCACCAGCCAGTTCTGTCAAATTTTGGTATTTTGTCACATCTGTTTCAACTGAAATTCTTTTAAATAAAAGAAATCAGAATCTCAAGTTCCCAAGTCTGTCTCCACTTCCATTCCCCTTTCTTTGACTTGAATTTATTTTTTCATTCCCAAGCATATTTTTCTATTTTGTGTATTCCATAAGCAACATACATTATTTTTATAGATTTTAAAAACATTATATAAATTCCATCCCATTGGACACATCCAGTTACAACTCCTTTTTTTCTCTTGGGACATTTGAGATTTAAACATATCAATATATGTAGTTTTAGTTTATCTGTTGTGAAATACCATAATTGATCTTGATATTCTTTTTTTTGGCGGGTAGTAACGGGGAATGAATTAAGGGGCACTTGACCACTGAGCCACATCCCCAGCCCAATTTTGTGTTTTATTTAGAGACAGGGTCTCATTGACTTGCTTAGCACTTCGCTGTTGCTGAGGCTGGCTTTGAACTTGCGATCCTCCTGCCCCAGCCTCCTGAGTCACTGGGTTTACAGATATTTTTCTTTTTGTAGCAATATTTTAAGGCTTTTTGATCTAATTTTATTCCTATTTTAATATAACTAAAATATAAAACACATAATTTTTTAAAAAAATTGGTGTCTACTGACATATTGTTTGTGTTTTTTCTCTTAACAATTCTTAAATGTGATTTAAATGATTTAATTGCTCCAGGAGACATCTTCTTAGAACTGTAAGACATAATGCTAGTCTTCCAAGATGGAGTTTCCCCCCATATTTTTAATTGGTGCATTATAATTATACATATTAGTGGGATTCATTGTTAACCTATTCATAGGTGCGTATGATGTAACTATAATTTGGTCAATATTGTTCCTCAGTATTTTTTCTTCCCTCCTCTCCCCCTTCCCTGATTCCTTTTCATCTGCTGTTTTGCCTTCAATTTTAATGAGATTCTTCCCACCATCCCTTTCTTCCTTTTGTTTTGGTACTGTAGATTGAACCCAGGGTGCTTAACCACTGAGCCACATCCCCAGCCCTTTAAATATTTTGTATTGAGATAGTGTCTCCCTGAGTTGCTTCGGGTCTTGCTAAGTGGCTGAGGCTGATTTCGAACTCATGATCCTCCTGCCTCAGCCTCCCAAAGGGCTGAGATTACAGGCGTGTGCCACTGCACTCAACCTCTTTGTTCTCCCTTGATTACACAAATGAAAAAAAATGTGACCCTTGACCTTCTGTGAGTTTGGCTTAATTCTCTTTATGTGGTGTACTCAGATTCCATCCATTTTCCTGCAAATGACATAATTTCATTCTTTCTGGCTGAAGAAAGCTCCATTGTGTGTACATATCCCACATTTTCTTTCTCCATTCATAGGAGGGAATTTCTCAGAGCAGGTGCTAACTTCAGAACCTGCATGTCCTGCTGCCTGGTGCCCAGAATTATCTACATCTGCCCTGTTTTCACTCTAGATTATGACCAGCAGGTCACTCTCACGGAGGCGCTGTGTAGGATGACGACTAGAACATCCAGGCGTGACCTTGTCCATCAGTGGTTTGATGATGAGGTCCTTGCTGAAGCTTTCAAGAAAATTAGGGATCGAGAATTTGAGACGGTGAGAAGCCTGGTTACAAAATTCCTGGTTGGTTGGTATTTATTAAGCCTCTGCTCAGTCCTGTCCTGTGTGTGGGCCTGGATGGAGTTTTCTTTTTCTTCATTATGATTAAGTGGCCGTTCTTAAGTTTCTATTCCGTGTAACAGCGAAATAATTTTGAAGGCAACATGAGGCCAAATGGGAAGATGAAGATGGGGCTCTGAGACTGGGGACCGGGCTCTGTGAATTGTGTCCAGTCCAAGAAACACATGGGAGAGGGGAGCAGTTTTCCACAAATCTCAGTCAAGGAGAGAATGGGAGAAGGAAAGAAAGCACTGGAGCCATGGAAAGAGCAGCTGTGTCACTGGGAGGTGTGATCCAGAGACTGAGGAGCCTTATGGGGTGGTTGTGCTGTGAGCCATGCAGCCTGTCCCATTTAGAGGAACAGTTATTTTCAGTATCTTCCACACAACCCCAGCTTACTGTGGTCATGTCCTCAAGTAGCACAGAAAAACGCCCTACGGCTTCATTGTGTATCTGTCTCTCATTTTAATGTTCTCAAAATGAAAGGCTCTTAGAAAAAGATAAAATTCATAATAATAGTTTTCATGTTAATAAGGACCTCTCGGGTTCAACCTGCCATGTAATTGGGACTCATACACAATTCAGACTGTATTAAATCTGGACCTCGTATATTTATCTCCAACTCTGAGCTAGTGCCATATACTTACTAGGTGTTTAGCCAGATTCAGTATACTCTAAATGGAAAGCCCAGGAGCCCAGGTGCTGTTCCGGACTTGGGCTCAAGTTTCACCACCCTGACTTACGTGATGCAGGTATTTTGGCCAGGTGCATGACTTGTGAAGCCAGAATGTCCTCCCCTGCAAAAGGGGAATAGACCCTGCGCGCCCCCCCCCCCCCCAATCAGAATGCTGAGCACTTAATGGGAGAAGCTGAAATTAGCTGGTATCAATTTCCTTTTGTCACTTCCTTATCTGCAGGGAAACTTGTCTACCATAGGAGAAAAGTAACTACCTTATTTCCAAAATCCTTTCTACCCTGTCAGCTTCTTAATTGAATTGCTTTCAGTTAAAGAAAATTGGAGGTGGAGAACACACCCAGAGAAACCCAGAGTTGCTTCGTTTGATGGATTTTTGATTGGTTGTGATGCACAGGTGTTAGGAAGATTAGTTCAATATTGTAATCTTGGGGTTTTTTTCTTGATTATTCTGACCCAATGAAGCAGTAGTGCATATGACTTTTGGAGACCTAAGTATTCATTGGCTAAAAACTTAATGCTGTGGTGAGGAGTAGTTATTTCCAGAAATGCAGGCTTGGAATATTCTCTTGGTGGTACAAAGTGTTGCTAAAACAAAATGAGTTCTTGTGAAACCTGGTGATGTTCCTGGACCCTGAGTGTTTGGAAGCAAACACTGGCCTCTGCCTGCTGGTTAAAGAAGATATTTTGATTTTTTTAAAAAATAAAACTTGCCATTATTTATTTTAAAGGATAGTCGACTCTTTCTCAATCACCTCAACAACAGACTTGGTGAGAAAAGAAGGTAAGATGTTTCTCTGTGTACTGTTTTCTTGACTAATTACTTTCTAGAAATGTCTAATATTTTACAAGAATAGGATCTGTTTCACTTTAGATATAGGATCCAGTTATTAATACAAATTTGTGGCTCACTGATTAGAAACCTAAGATGATCAGATCCCTTATGCCTAGTGGCTCATTTGAGTGTTTAAAAAATTATCTGCCTTTAGCGTGTTTTTTGACTTTGCATATTTATTTTTATCAAGACATCCTTGAGTGAGTCTGTAGATCTTATGAAGAGCAAGGTCATATAGACTTGAGGTCACTGGGGATTCATATATCATGGACAGTTACATCCTTGATGAGACAAGGGTTGTTAAATTCACCCCTTTCTTTAGGAATCTTTCAGAATAATTTGGCTGAATTATAGTACTAGTGAGCTGTCCAGCTTGAGAGTAGATTTCTATTTGCAGGGTTGAAACCCCCTACTGTTCTCTATATGAGGAGACTTAATGACACACCCTAGTTATAGATGCTTGATGCAAAACGTTTGTAGGTTGTGTGTGGGGTCCATCCTTAATTTTTAATGGTGGGGTGTTTTGCAGGGTCTATTCATTTCCGTGTATTGCTGCTTTTGCTGATGAGCATGAGGTATGTTTGTTTTTCTCGGTGGGTGGGTGAGGGTAGTGTGCAAGGTTAGATTGTTGTTACTCAGAAGGGCTTTATAAAAAGGTTGCCAATTTCTCCTAGTGTTCTCAACTTTGAAATCATCCATGCTGGACCATGACATGATGCTTGGCCAGTGAGCATAGGGGCTCTCCTGCTACTACTGGGTAAAGGAGTTTTAGGGTCCATACTGTACATATGTCAATTACAGGAATCTTGCCTTATTTTTCCCTATTGATGGGTGACATCCTTTAGGCCTGGACTTTTTCTCCTCTGGTTGATGCCTCCCTTTTTCCTGATCAAGTGAGACCATATTCCTTTTCTCTACTTTGTCATTGTATAATATTGTGCAAACTACCCCTATAGAGAAAGTACCTTTGTATCACAAGTGCTTGACACTATCTTTCTTTCTACCTTGCACTTTCTAGCCAAGGTTGACCAGCTGCTTTTCACCCCCTTCTTCAGTCTCTAGAGGAACAAGTTCTTTCATTATTCAAGGTCCCTGACCTACAGTGTCTCATTTGCAGGGTGAAACCTTCAGGGGCCTTAGAACCTTGACTCGGCTGCAGATTCCTTGACCCCATCTTTAGATTGTCCTCATTAACAACTTCTTTAAGCTCAGAGCCTGTGTTCATCTCTTGAGCTGAACTTTGAGCTTGCGAATACCCTTCACACTCCTTCTCTCTAGAACAGACATTGGTCGACTGATCCCTGTATCCCACTTTGGCCTGTTTTCCTTTGGTGGTCTGAGGTCTCCTCTCTTCACTTGGCTCTAAGACTTCCAGAATTCCATCAGCTTCAACCAGGCCCCTGTGCTGGCTTCTGGTGGCATACACTGGGAGCAGAGGTCTTCATCCAGCTCTGTAGCCATTACAAAGTGGGCATGTGTGATGAAAAGATGTCTAAGCAATACCATTTATTGGAAAAGCAGCCTGTAGAATAGCAAGTCTGGCGTTTGCCCCATCACTGGGGAATAAGAACTTTATATATACAGTTGAACATCCCTAATCCAAATAACAGAAATGTTCCAGAATTGAAAACTCACAGAATCCATGTGACCTTTACAAGTGGAAAATTCCGCATCCGACTTCACTTGATGCAGTCAAAACACGGTGTACTGAAAATACTGTATAAAATTGTCAGGAGCTGCCACTTAGGAACCAAGCCGCCTGTTAGCCTTGAGCAATGAGTATGTGTAGATGTGGCAAGCCAGCCATGGGCTGTGTGTGTGAACTATGAGCATTGAGCACACAGGGTGGACTGAACCAACGTTGCCCCTCTGTTTGGGCGGGCAATATGTGCGTCTTTTTGCCCGCTCTGCCTATGAGCCCCACACAGCACATGAGATGGGCGTGGCCTTCCTAGATGTCAGTCAACCTGCTGACAGCAAGACATCATGAAGCTAGACTCCACTCCCTGAAACCTGACCCCTTGCCTCATTTGAATGGCTTCTCCCCAATAAAAGGGTTCAGCACATGCTCCTTGCTCTTTCTTGCCTGCCTTGCCCCCCTGGTGGGAGCTGCAGCTGAGGAGCAGTCACTGAGCCCAAAGAAAAGGTACTTTCTGAATCTGTCTTATATTTAATCCCCAGATTCACTTGGAGTGACCCTGATCGGTTTAGACATGTGACAGGGCATAAAGTGACCTATGTATGAGGTGTATGTGATCTGTAAATGAATTTTGGGTTTAGATTCAGGTTGTTGCCACCAAGAAATCTCACTACATACCTGCAAATGCTCCAAAATACAAAAAGTTATGAAATGCATTGGGGTTACAAGCATTTTGGATAAGGGCTGCTCAACCTGAACTTCCTGATCACTTGTCTGCAAAACCTGTGGCAGGAACTAGAGGGGACAAAGGCATTGCTAATAGTGCCTATTGAAAGAGACCAATGGGAAGTTAGGAGGCAGGTGCCACACTATTTGAGTCTTTCTTTTCTCCATTTTTACTAAAGCATATATTATAATTATCAGTTAAAATAAAAATGGTCTGAACTTAAGTCTTTATTCTAATAGATGGTAGCTTAGGTGACAGATCACTCTTCAGATTTAATCACATCTCCCTTTCTAAAAGTATCCCCCTATATATGCTGTATGGATTGTCATTGCTTCACCATAGAACTGACGGCTTCATGATTCTCACCAGGAAGAATTGTCTAGCTAGGGTCATCTGACATTTAAAATATCTATTAAATGTGCTAAGGATAGGGATTTTATTGGGAATGGCTTGGTCATATACAGCAGAGATCTTGGTTTTGCACAAACTAATCAGGAAATAAAGGGGGCCCTAAAGTATTAGGATAGTGCTGTTCTAGGAAAAGAATAAGATTTTTTTTTTTAAATTAGTACTTTTTTATCTGACCCTATAACATAGTTTTTTTGTGTGTATTACTTTTTTGCCGAAATTCTCTTACAGATGAGAAAACCAGCAGATGAAAAATTAGAGAAATTTTGGGTTGATTTCAACCTCGGAAGTCAGAGAGTAACTTTTTATATACACAATGATGAGGTAAGCAGGTTTAATCCCCTATTAGACCTACCTGCTTAGTGTATTTAGAAACGGGTTATATGCTCATGAGTTTCATCTATTTACTTTCCCTAGAGTGCTCTGTGGGATCCAGTAAGAATTTTGAAGGAAGGAGTTGTTAACTTCAGAGTAATAGGTAAGATGATAATAATTCAGAACTCCTCCACATCTAGCTCAGTATTTGTTTATATTTGCAGTATGTGTTAAGACCAGATTTCAGTCATCTCATGGGGCAGAGGTAAGGCTGTGTGGTACAGTGGAAGGCTCATTGTGCTCAATTCAAGGTTTAGGGGGCATAGCGTTGATGACTTCTTTGCTTTGTGGCTTTGGGATTCAACTGCTTGCCTAGTTTTCTCAACTCATAGTTATGGTTCTCACCAGATTAAAAGCAGAACTGCCACCAGATGTAGTGGTGCATGCCTGTAATCCCAGTGACTGAGGAGGCTGAGGCAGGAGGATCTTGAGTTCGAGGCTAGCCTCAGCAACTTAGACCCTAAGCAACTTAGCGAAACCCTGTTTCAAAATAGAAAGAGCTGGGGATGTAGCTTAGTGGTAAAGCAGCCCTGGGTTTAATCCCTAGAACCAAAAAAATTAAATAAATGCAGAACTACCATGTAACTTTTCCAGATGATTCTATCAATATATAGTCCAGTGATTTCACTTTGAGATAGACATGCAAAAGAATTGGAAGGAGAATGTTGAACTGTTTATCCGTGTTCATAGCTGCATTACTCACAACAGCTAAAAAGTGAAAATAACCTAAATGTTCAGTGAAGAATGAATGGTATCAAATAAAATATCCCATACATGCACATGTATACCATGTTACGCAGCTTTGGGAAAGGGAAATTCTGACACCTGCCACAACATAGAGGAACCTTGAGGTCATTAGGCCAAGTGACATAAGCCAATTTGAACATGGCAAAGTACTGATCCCAATGTATGAGGGTATTTAATGTAGTCAAATTCATAGAGAGCAGATTGGCCATTGTCAGGGCTGTGGGAAGGGAGAAATGGATAACAGGTGTTCAAAGGGGACCAAGTTTCAATTTTGCAAGATGGAAAAGTTCTGGAGATCCTGTTGTATAACAATGTGCATGTGCTAACTTAAATTAAAAACCACAAATGATTAGGATGAACATTTTATTTTGTGTAGGGTTGTCCTGCCACCCCCAAACCGCCGCTGCCCCCCCTCCCAGTCACAACTTGGAAAAATGGTTTTGGTACCTGTCTTCCTCTCCCCCAGAGTCACAGTAACAACTGATCAATGAGTTCACAGGCATCTGTGCCACCTCTTGTGTTTTGATTTCAGTCTTTTGACCCCCTGACCTTAGGCCTCCTTCACTGACTTTTCATCCCAACTTGATAGATGGCATGGAGGGATCTTGCTTAGCATCTCATCTGTAACCATACATGATCAGGTTTCCTGAATTGGGTTTTTAAAATACAGAAGGCTATATTTTCATTCATGCTAGGCAAGTGCTCTACCTCTGGAGCCCACCCCAACCCAAGACTCATATTTTCTGCTTAGCTTCCTGGAAGCCAGGGTGAAAGTGAAATATGACCTGTGAGCATCTCTAAATTAGATGTTATCATAAATGTAAATTAGGAGTAACTTATACAGTAAACTTATCTAGGAACTACTTGTTAATTTAAGATGTATAAGATGGCATTGATAATAGTAAATAAGGACTTCCTTGGGTTTCTGACTGGGGTACCCTTAACATTGCTTTTCTGACTTTATGCCTCAACTCTGAACTTTGCTACACTCATAGTTTTCAATAACTAAGTTGCTAAAGTGAATATTCTATACTTTATTAATAGATCATAATACTACTGTGACACTTTGTCAAGATACCGTGTGGCACTTTGTAAATACAAAGTAGGTGTTTCCATTTTTTTTTAATATCTGAGGAAAACAAAGATTAACAGACTCTGCAAGTGAGACTTTGATCTTGTCTACACAGTCCTTCTGGCTGGGGAGTCGGCCAGGTATGTTGGCAGCGTGGTGTGGCCCTCGGTATTTCTTCTGACCCGTATGTGTTTCTGTTGATCCCCAAAGCCCAGCTAGCTAAAAATACATGTATTTTGGCAGATGATGGTTTTGAACCACTCTTGCAGCAGAGTTTTAGAAAGACTCTGTAGTGAGGAGTAGACAACCAGTAAGATCAGAATTTGGGAAAGATTCCCTGAGCTTGACTCTAGACCAACACTGCCCCATACATAGAAATAAAATGTGATGCAGGGGCTTCAGAATGGGAGAAACTCTTCACTACCTGCACCTTATATAAGGCATTAGTCTCCCAAAAAGCTAAACACCAAAACAAAACAAATAACCTAATCAATAAATGGGCAAAGGAACTGAACAGGCACTTCACAGAAGAAATACAAATCATTAACAAATATATGAAAAAAAAAAATGTTCGACATCTCTAGCAATCAGAGAAATGCAAATTAAAACTACACTGAGATTCTCAGTCTAGTCAGAATGGCAGTTATCAAGAATACAAGCAATAATAAATGTTGGCGAGGATTGTGGGGGAGGAAGGTACTCTCATACATTGCTGATGGGACTGAAAATTGGTGCAATCACATTGGAAAAACAGTATGGAGATTCCTCAGAAAACTTGGAATGGAACCACCATTTGATCCAGTTATCCCGCTCCTCAGCTTATACCTAAAGACTTGAAACCGGCATACTACAGTGATGCAGCCACATCAATGTTTATAGCAACTCAAATCACAATAGCTAAGTTATAGTACCAACCTAGATGCCCTTCAATAGATGAATGGATAAAGAAAATGTGGTACATACGTATAATGGAACATTACTCAACCTTAAAGAATAATGAAATTATGGCACTTGCCAGTAAATAGATGGAACTGGAGGCTATCATGCTAAGTGAAATAAGCCAATCTCCAAAAACCAAAGGCTGACTGTTCTCTGATGTGTGGATAGATACTGGGGTGTTGGGGGAGGAAGGAGTGGAGGTTCACCAGATTGGATGGGGAACTGGGGGGAAGGGAGGCAAAATGGAAATGGGAAAGAAAGTAGAATGAGTCAAACATAACTTCCCTATGGTCATATATAAATATATGACCAGTGTGACTCTGCATCATGTACGACCACAAGAATCGGGAATTATACTCCATGTATGTATGTCAAAATACATCCACTGTCGTGTACAACTAAAAAACAAAAATGTGAGCCACATATTCATATTTGAAATTTTCTAGTAGCCACTTGAATTGAAAAGTGGATTAACTTCAATAGTATTTTAACCCAATGTATTAAAAATATTAATGTGAAATCAATAAAAAGAACCTTTGTCCTTCCTGTTCTAAATCGTCTCAGTCTGGCGTGGAGGTCACACTTGCAGAGCGTCTCCGTTTGCACGAGCTGGGTTTCAAGTTCTCCACCGTCCAGATGGCACGGCTCTAGACCTGTGTGTCTCTTTTCCCCTCTCCATTCTCATCAACACGCGGCTGTTAGCTTAGTCTGCTCTTTCACAGACTGTACTCCATTCTTTCCTGCTGCTTCTATCTCTGTCCTTACTGCAACTTACGCTTGGACTTTATGGATTTTGATCTGAGCAATTTTCTCCTCCAAAACCAATTACCACTTGTCAGTGGCATCCTGCTAGGAGAGCCCAGGAGGCTTCCACCTGAGATGGTCTTCTCACTGATGCCCCCACGTCCCCTTTTTAAAAGGAGTCTATTGAAATGAAGGTGGGTCGTTCCATTTTGCATATCAGAAACAGAAACATTTTGTATTTTAGAAATTTGTGGGGTTCCAGAGAGAAATGTTGTGCTTAGTGTATTTGGAAATAAAAACAAAATGCTCTTACAAAAAGTTTGGATTTCTTTGATAAAGTAAGCTGCTTCCTTTTATTGGAAGATCAACCAATCATGTATGCGTATGTAAATAAAAATTTCAAAGTAATGACTTTTCGACTCATTGCAGCGAAGTCCAGACAGTTGGCCAATACTCCAATGTGATCATTTGTGAATATAAAGTTTTAAGCCCTTTATTGTGCTGATGTGCATGGTATACCATATATTTTTTTTTTTTTGCTAGAAACTGAGAAGATAAAAATACTCATCATTTACCTGAAGCAGCCCATTATTATCAGCAAGAAAGAAGTGATGAAAGTAGAAATCCATTTTGATCTGCAGTTCAGCATATCCCAAACTTCCGTCCAAGCTTTGGGAGAAGACAAACAGGCGGCAAGTTCCATTCTCTCATTCTTTGAAATTCTTGCAGTGTGTCATATGTCTCTTCATTTTCTTTCTAGGGTTTTCAGAAATTGGTGTCCTGGTTGGGTTTTGACGTGAAGATTTGTCCAGCAGAAGCCTTGGTCTTTAGAAAGTCATGTGAAATGAGTAGAGAGCTTTGGATTCTGATCCCATCTCCTCCTTTACATGTGACATTGTCTTAGCTACATAGGACACGAAGCCTCTTTGTACCTTGAAATGCTCCGTCTGTCTCTTGCTGACAGTAGAAAGCTTTGCTAGGAGACATCACCTCCTCACTGGTTCTTCCTGGAGTCCTGTATCTACCCACTGGACTTCCTGGCTCTTCCTGGGCTCTCAGCTCCACCTGGCCCCAGGGAGAATCATTAGGAGTAGGATTTCTTAGGGTGTTTCCCCAACCACTCCCCGTCTTGCCCTGTGGAATAGTCTATGCCTCTTCTAGATTGCTATGGTTTTTTTATCTTGTGACTCTAATGCTTCCTACATATGTACAGGAGCAAGAGCCTTTCTCCATCAGCATCCTAGCCGGTAGGAAGGCAAGACATCTATGACAAGAGTTCACAAAAATGGATTATATAAAATGTTGTAGTGATGGCCAGTAGGCATTAAGAGGTCAGAGGTCTGATGGGAGAAGTCTTGGGTCAACTTCCTTTTAAGTTTGAGCTGTACAGGCAGGCATTTGATATATGACGAAGTGCTCTGCAAAGAATTTCCAAAGACCCCATGAAAAGACGATCTCATGGGAGAAAATGAGAAACGGAATCAATAAAAATTAACCCTTTCATTCTGTTACGTGATGAATGGGTCCAAGTTTGCCTTTACTTATGGAAAACATCAAAATGTTTCCACATTTTGCAAAATGAGTAAAATGTTTTGGGAGAAGAGTCGGGGTATGTGTGAGATGAAGCCCCTGGATAATGAGCCCCTGTAAGGAAGGGATGGGTTTGGAGGATCCTCTGTTGGGGGCCTCCCTGCAGACTCGTCTCTAGAGACTCAACCCTTAAGTGAAGCAGGGATTAGAAGATACCCAGGGCTTGAACTTAGAGAAAGGAGAGAATATGGTCTTAGTACATCCTCTCAAGCTATAACTGAGTACTACAGACTGGTAATTGGTAGAGAAAAGGTTTCTTTGGCTCCTTGTTCTGGAGGCTGAGGAGTCCAAATTATATGGTGCTGGTCTCCACCCAGCCTCTAAGGAGGGCCTTCCTCTTGCTTTCTGATATGCTGCAGGGTGTCATCAGGCCAGATAGAGCCAGTGTGCTGGAGAGAACCCCAGTGTTTCTAACACGGCCACTGCTGGGATACCCATTGACCCAAGCCTGGGTCAATCCATTCATGAGGATGGAGCTCTTGTGATCCCACCTCCCAGAGGTATCACACCTCTCAGCATTGCTGCCCTTAGGACCAGGTTTCTAACCTGTAACCACAGGCGTCAGGAGAGAGTGGTGGAGAGCAGGGTAATGGTCAGCCAGAGCTGGTCCTGGAGGGAGGGTGGTATAGAAAGCTGGAAATGGTAAAAAGATCCTTCAGGAGAGGGCCAACTGAAGACGAGCTGCTCCTCATTGATCCATGTGCTGTGTTCCAATGTTCCTAGCTTTAAGTTTTCCTTTACAAGTTTTTTTTTTTTTCCTGTTTATTTTTAAGGCCACTGCTTTTAAAGGTCATGTGGCTTTTGGCTTGCATTTCAGATGTTGCCCGATCAGATGAAAATATCCTCGGAACTTCTTAGTAAGTTTGAGAAAGCAGAGCGTGAGATTCTCCCTAGCCAAGAAAGTGCAACAGGTATTTTGAGAAATAACAACTTTCTGACTCTGAATTCTCTATGAAAGTGCTGACGACGCCTTATTGGGAAGGAGTCGCTGAAAACCTGTGGTTATAGAAGTAGAAAGAGTTTGGGGGAAGAGCTGCTGCAAGCTTCCCATCATTCCCCACCTGGTGGCGCCCCCTGTGGGTTGGCTGGGATGGTAAAGAGCAGATGCTGGGCGGCAGGAGGAGGGTCTAAGGGGGCTCTGATCCCATCTCCCTTGAGCTTCTTGCCACGTGCCCACAGGTTGCTCATTTGAGGTCTGAGGTAGTACCTTGCTACCCAGTCGTGCCAGAGGATGGTGGAGGAGCAGAGGTGCATATTCCTTGGAGAGCATGTTGGCATCATGCATGGTTATTATTTTGTCATTTTCTCCACATGAGTAGAACATGCTGAGGAATCCACCAACCTGGCTGAGCTCATGAGTGCTGGAGATGACCGTCACCTGAATGGCCAGTCTGAGCCTCCCGTGAGTTCACAGAGCTGGGGATAGGTTCTGATCTGGGTCCAGAAGGAAGCTGGAATGGGTGCCGAGCCTCCTGATGACCAGGCCATTAGCTCCTGGTCAACCATCTCCCGATGCTTTAATGATGCCCTTTAGATTATTGTTGTCTGCTGAATCTGTGCGTTCTCTCCTTTGGCTCAATTCTGCTCTCCTAAGAAAGGCACAACTCCACTAGCCTCTGCCCAATTCATTCATTTGGGACCTGGAGACTGTGTCTGGAATAGGAGTCCAGAGTTTGGAGTTCGACATGGGTCTTCAGTTACTAGCTGTAGGAACTTGGAAAAATTCATATTATAGCTCTAGGGGCGTCCCATCCACAAAATGAAGGTAATGGCAAATTCATAGGTATGGCTTCCTAGGGTTTAAAAATGGGTACTAAGTTATGGCTAGAGAGGACCAAGGAGTTCTGATGTGCTGGTTCACAGTGGGATGACTTTAGATAGCACTGTACTTTTCAAGAATCCAGAAAAAAGGATTTCGAATGTTTCTACCATAAAGAAATGGTATTTGAGGAGATAGACATGTTTGACTAGATCTGATCATTACAATGTATACATGAATCAAAACAGCAGATGACACACCTTCAGCATACACATTTTTAATGTTTTAGTGTGCCAGTTAAAAAGTAAATTTAAAAAAGATTTCATGGAGCCCCTGCTTTGCATATTTAGTTATTTAGTTCATTCCTCACTTTCTTACATGAATGTATCTCACTTATGTGTGATGGTGGAGTCACAAAACAAAAACAAACCTAGAGACCGTTTTCCCCAGTGAACTCTCATCTTTTAATTAGGCTCCTTGGGAAGTCATACACATGTCCCAGCAGCTGATGCCGTCTGTCTTCCTGCTGCCCTGTGTACCTGTGTGTGCTGTTTCTTTGGTAGTGGCAGATCCTTTCCTGAGATTGGAGGTGACCTTTTAGGAAGAGCCAACAGTCATTGGGAGCCATGCTTCATGAATAAAGAGCCTGATACTTGGTGGATATGCTCCTTTTAAGATGTGTGAAGTGGTTTCAATAGACTTTCAAGAGGGGGCTTCAGAGAGATCATAAGTTATTTTTTTTTCCTGCAGCACAAAAATACAGCTGATAAATCACCTGAGAAACTGAAACTGGATGACACACAACAAGGTCTGATATGTCTTATCTGTCATAAGACCCAAGAGGTCTGTTTAAATGTTTACTCAGGATGCTTGGCACTTCTTGGTTTTGTTTTTTCTCCTTAGAAGTTACCTCAGAACATGAGTATTCTTCAGATGCAAAAGAACCGTCCACTCCAATTCAGGCTCCTAACTTGGACAACAAATCCAGGTAAGTGATTTTTCTTTTTAAGTTTTATCGTTCTTAATAGACACATACTAATTGTACATGTTGAGGTACAGTGAAAGTTCTATAAATGTATCACGGAATGATCAAATCATGGTGTCTAGCATATGCACATAAAACATCTACCACTTCTTTTTGGTGAGAACATTCAGAAACCTCCTATAGTTATTTTGAAATATGCACCACTGGGGGCTGGGGTTGTGGCTCGGCGGGAGAGTGCTCACCTAGCACGTGTGAGGCGCTGGGTTCGATCCTCAGCACCACATAAAAATAAATAAAAATGTAGTGTGACCAACTACAACTAAAAATAGAAAAATGTGGCCGACAATATTAACTATCGGCATCCAACTGTGCTGTAGCCTCCAGAAGATGTTCCTCATATTGGCTATAGTTTTGGCCAATCTCTCCCCAACATCTCTTTCCCTTTACCCATCCCCTTGCCCCACCCCACCACCTCCACCACCTCCACCACCTCTGATAACTATTATACTACCTCTATTTCCATGGTGGTTTTAGGGTCCACACATAAGTGAGATCAGCAGTGTTTATCTTTCTCTGCTAGGTTTATTTCACATAACAGAATGTCCTCCATGTTTTGAAAATGATAGAATTCCATCTTCTTTTATGACTGACTACTATTCCATTGTGTATCTCACCACATTTTCTTCATCTGTTTTTCTCTGGATGGACACAGGTTGATTCCACATCCTGGCAATTGTGAAACTAAAAACTGTGCTAATTATTGTATGTCAATACTACAAGTTAATAGTCTAGGTTTTGCTCTCTTTCCTGCCTCTGGCCACCTCATTCCAAGGAGAAAGCATTTTGGGAAGTTCTCTGTTTGAGTTGGCAGATTCTCCTGGACCTGTAGACCTCTGCTATTATCGCTAGGGTATCTTTGATGTATTTTTCTGCTGCAAAACATTGAATCTGAGATTGAAAAAACATTCAATATACAAAAATCATTTTCACTATTAACCAAAAATTGAAATAAAAAGGCAATATAATTTACAATAATATTAAACATATGACATACTTGGGGATTAACTTAACAAAAGATTTACCTTAGCCTTATTTACTTTTATATTAGGGGATTTAACCCAAGGGAGTTTTTTACCACTGAGCCATGTGGTAAAAATTTTTATTTTTTAAGACAGGATCTCACTAAGTTGCTTAGGGCCTCGCCCAGTTGCTGAGGCTGGCCTCAAAGTTGTGATCCTCCTGCCTCAGCCCCCCAAGCCACTGGGATCACAGGGGCATGCCATCGTTCCTAGCAACAAAAGATTTGTAAGATCCATTCGGTGCCACCCAAGTAGAAAACTACAGAATGTTGAGAGAAGTTTAGGTAGGTAGAGAGATAGATACACTATTGGCATATTTCACTGTTTATGAGATGAAAAGCTCAATCTTAAGATGCAAGTTCTTCCCACATTGACCTAGGGATTCAATATAATCCCCAGTGAAAATCCCAGCAGCCTTTTTTTAAAAAAAAAAAAATTAGCAAACTATTTCTGAATTTCATGTGAACTTTAAAGGACATGGAAGAGCCAAAACAAATTTCAAAAAGAAAGTAAGTGGGAGAGTTCACACACTACCTGGTTTCAAGATTTACCAAAAAATCAAGAGTGTGTGGTATTGAAATAAAGATTAATAAACAAAACAGACCAGGAAGTCCAGAAATAGGTCCGAATATATGTGGACAGTTTGTCTTTGCATTTCTGTCTGTCATAGATAATGCAGCAGGGAAAGGATAGGTGTTTCAACATATGGTACTAAAACAGTTGAATACTATGTGTAAGAAAATAAATGACCTTTCTTTATTACTGTCAATAGATTAGAGACCTATATGAATATGAAATATTTTTTTAAAACTTCAAAGATTTCTTAGATATGACACCAAACGTGCAGCCCATACAAGAACACGTTGGTGAATTATACTTCATCAATGTGAAGTATAATTATATTCTATAATTATATAATGAAGTAGGCTCTTCATCAACCACTCTTGCAAGAAGCAAGAAACAAGCCACACACTTGGAGAAGATATTCGTAAAAGACTTGTATCTGAAATATTACTGATTATCAAACTTCAATAGTAAAAATACAACTCAGTAAAAAGAGAGGCAAAAGATTTAAACAGTTATTTTACCAAGGAAAATACACAGCAGAGAAACACATGAGAAGTTGTTCAGTGTTATTAATTATTAGGGAAATGTTAATTAAAGCTGCAAGATGCACTGCACTATTAGAATGGCTGTCTGCACCATGAGTTTGTGACTATGTAGGCTCCTGGAACTTTTGTATTCTGGTATTTTCCTAAAATGTTATAAGCCTACCCTGTGGCCCTGGTATTCCAATCCTAGGTGTTTTCCCAAGAGATATGTCAGTATATCTCCATGCAAAGGAATGGACATGAGTGGTTTTTTTTTTTTTTTAATTGGTTGTTCAAAACATTACAAAGCTCATGATATATCATCTTTCATACATTTTATTCAAGTGGGTTATGAACTCCCATTTTTACTCCAAATACAAATTGCAGAATCACATCGGTTACACATCCACGTTTTTACATAATGCCATATTAGTGACTGTTGTATTCTGCTACCTTTCCTATCCCCTACTATCCCCGCTCCCCTCCCCTCCCATCTTCTCTCTCTACCCCATCTGCTGTAATTCAATTCTCTCCCTTTTTTTCCCCCTTTCCCCTCACAACCTCTTATATGTAATTTTGTGTAACAATGAGGGTCTCCTTCCATTTCCATGCAATTTCCCGGACATGAGTGTTTGACAGCTTTCTTTGTAATAGCTCCAAATTAGAAACTCGGATGTCTTCAATAGACAATCTGTACCAACATGTGTTTATTCATTTTATCTTTTATCCAAAATGTCTGGAACTAAAAGTGTTTCATATTTCAGAGTTCTCTGGATTTTGGAATATTTGAATATTACAAAAGATCCTGGGGATGGGATCCAAAGTCTAAACACAAATTTATTTTTTATATATAACTTATACATATGTCCTGAAGGTAATCTTATTCAATATTCTTAGCACACCAGTCACCAGTAGTTTGACTATGACCTGTCACTTGAGGTCCAGTGTGGAATTTTCCATGTGTAGCATCATATTGACTCTCAGGAAGTTTTGGATTTTGGAGCATCTTGGGGTTTCCAGGTTAGGAATCTGCACCTGTATATCCACACAATGAAATACTATGCAGAAATCAAGGAATGAACTATTGACATGAATGTGACCTGAACGAATCTCAAAATAATTATGCCCAATGGAAGAAATGAGAAAATGTGCATATTGTATACTTGAATTTACATGAAATTCTAGAATGTGCACAGTAAGCGCAGTAGATGAGTGGTTGGCTGGACAATGATGGTGCAAAATTGCAGTGTTGTACAGCAGATCTCTAGAAGGTACTCATTTTGAACAACTGAAACAACATCTATTTAATAGGAACTTTGCATTTACCTTCTCCCCCAATCCCTGGCAACTGCCATCCTGCTGTTTCTATAAGCATGAGTATTTTGGATACTTTGTATGTTTGGAATTGTGTGTAGTACTTGTGCTTTTGGGATTTGCTTGCCTTAGTGTAATTCTTCATGTTCATCCATGCCATTACCTGTGGCAGGATTTCCTTTTTTAAGACTGAGTAGTATCCATATGTGCCCACGTGTGTGTGCATGCGTATGCTATGGTTTCTTTATCCGTGCTTTCCTCATGGATAGTTGGGTTGTTCACAAATTTGTGTTAGTCAGCTTTAGGGTACTGTAATAAATAAATGCCTGAGATTTTTCAACTTAAAGAGAAGAAAGGTTTTATTTTGGCTCACAGTTTTGGAAATTACAGCCCATGGTTGGTTGACTCTGTTGCTTTGGGGCCTGTGGCAAAGGACATCATGGCAGGAGCATACAGCAGTGACAACTGGCTCATTTCATGGTGGCTGGAGAACGACAAAGGGGAAAGGACTGGGATCCCCAAATCGCTTTCTAGGGCATGCATCCAGTGACCTAGCTTACTCCCAGGAGGTCTCACCTCTATCATATCCCTAGCACCACAGGATGTTGAACAAGCCTTTAACTTGCAGGCCTTTGGGGAGCACTTACCCAAATCATAGCACATCTTCTGGCCATTGTGGATAATACTGCAACGAACATTGAAGTGCAGGCACTTTCTGATCTCGGTACCTTTTGGACGTACACTTTGTAGGACTGCTGAATTACATGGTAGTTCTATTTTTATTTGGGGGGAGTACCTCCGTACTGTTTTCCATGGCAGCATCCTTCTTTATTCCCATCGTTATTTTACAGTAACCTTACATCCTAACACTCATCCTTAAAATAAAAATAATAGACCACATGGCTGATAAATGAATAGTCAAAATATAGAAGGAACTCCTACAACTCAAGAGCTGCTAATAATAATAATAACCCAAGTAAAAAAGTAGGGAAAAGGCTTAAGTAGACATTCTCCAAGGAAGACCTACAGATGGACAATCGGCTTTGGAGAGATGCTCAATGTGCAGCATCTGTTTAAAGCACCCCGGTGGCTCTCGGGGGAGGCCAGGCTGGAGGAACACTCTGCAGCCTTGCTACTGGCTTGCTACTACCCTTGCCAATCCTGCTCCGCCTTCCTCTTCTCTGTGTGCCTCGGACAAGGAACTCGGCAAAGTTTATTTTCTTGTAAATAGTCATTGTCTTCCAGAGAATCTGTGAATAGACTGCAAAATAGAAGCCAGTCTGCAGCACGGATGCTCCCCATGCACAGGGTTCATAATCGGGCAAAGGGCGGTGGAGTAAGGGAAGGAAGAGGGTGATGGTCGTACCGGTTCCATTCATTGGATATATTTTATTTTAGGGAAGATCCTGCTTTCGAGAGTGGCAGAAAGCAAAGGAGAAGGATGTCGGTAATGTAATAACTTTGATTATTTTAAAGTAGTACTCCCCAGATTTCAGTTACTTGCATGCCACCTATAAAATGTGCCATAGCATGATTCCTGGTTACCAGTTTTTCTAAACTATCTTAAATTTATTTTAAAAGAAATTATTTCAATTTTAAATGGAAAAGCAGTGTTCTAGTAAGTAGCGAATAGCGCTTGAAAATCGCCAGGTTACCCTGTGAGCTCTGAAAAGGCCCATCGGCCATATCTAGGATCATCAGTTTGGACAGATTAAGTGAGCCCAGTCAAAAAACTCAGCAGAAGGTAACATTGTCACGTTAAATCCTAGTTGTTTGCAAATAGATAGTGGATAATTTGAAGGTAGATGCTCTCAGTCAGTCCTTTGCCACTGTAGTAAGTGCTTATTTAACAGAAAAGAGCCCGCTCATGTTAGCTGGGACATGGTGGACCATCTTTGCTCCATAGCAACAGAATCGGGTGAGAGTGGCATCTCCATGACCGCCAGCACTTAAATGCACAGCCAGAGAGCTCTCCCAAAAATGCACCTTGGGGCTTCCCCTCTTAAAACCTTTGTCCCCCATTTTTTTTTCCTAAATTACATTAGGCCCCTTCTTGCTTTGCTATATACTTTTAAAAGTCTTAAGCACTCAAAACTTATCCTGAGTAGATCAGACCTGTTAAAGAATCAAAATGTCTCACTGAGTCAGCATTGCTGAATGGCATGCCTTATGTCTGTGCCAATGACATCTATCCAAGTGCCACCATTACTGGCCGTTTGCTTTGGGAAGCACAGTACTGAGTGTGGTCCATGTTCTCCTTTAAAAAATAAAGAGCAAGATGCAGAAAAGCCTGGCTCATGAAAGTTCCTGTTGGAAATCACCTTCTCTAACCAGTGTGGGTGCCCGTCCGTGGATTCATGGCCAACATGTAGAGTATGTTCTCAACAAAATACTGTTCAGCCTCACGGAGGGAAATCCTGTCACTCCTGGCAGCGTGGGTGAGCATGAGAAACATTAGGTTGAGTGAAATAAGCCAGGCACAGAAAGGCACATCCTGGGTGGCCTCACTTGTGTGGAATTTTTAAAAAGTCAAACTCATGGAAATAGGGAGGGAAATGATAAATATCAGGGGCCAGAGGTGTTGGGGAGAATATGGATCAAAGGATACAAAATTTCAATTAGACAAAAAGTAGGCCTGTCTTATCTCAAAATGACTACAGTTAATAGCAATTCAAGTATACTATGTGTTATGAGAATAGGTTTTAGGTATGCTCATTTTTTAAAAGTATGTGAGATCATGCATGTGCTAATTAGATTTTAACTCTTACACAGTGGATTCATATATCAGAACATCATGGGGTGCACCAGACATATTCACGAATTTTTTCAGTTAAAAATGACCTCTACAAAATGCTGAACCACGAAACATTTTAAGGAGTCTTACAAATGAATTTATTTGGTAACTGGACAACTAACCACCTTCACCCCTGGGCCGTGGTGGTGATATCACAAGCAACTGACATTGGTTCAGTTCTAACCTGGTTGTGGCCTCGGGAGATGATTCTGCATTTTGTCATTTGAGATAGTGGGTATATCCTCCAGTGGATGCTTCCTGTTTGAGAAGACTTTTTACCAGTTACTATGTTGGGATCCTTCAGAATCCCCCCTTACTGCAGATGGGAATGGTTGTTGCAGCTGAGTGGTGGGTCCCCGGAAAAGCAGAGTGGTTTGGGGACAGAGCCCCTGGAGGTACCCAACACGAATCTCATATAGGGTGGGATTTTTTTTCTGTTAAAATCAAAACCAATTTTAAAATGGAGCGTAAACATATTTTCATCATAGCATTTATTTTAGAAGCTCAAAAACTATAAAAGCTTTTAAAGATAAATATCAAAGTACAGTTGAATTACTCACCAGAAAAGATCAAATTTATTCTAAATCACTAACCTATTATAGTCTAGTCTTAGTTTCAAAATGCTTTGTTTTCTATAGAAATGATCCTCCTGGTTGGTTTCAGCTCTTCTAAGGCATAGAGAACCATGTCTTTGCAAAATAAAAAGGGGTGTGTGTGTGTGTGTGTGTGTGTTTACACATGTGTGTACTTTGTTTTGTCGTTTGAGTTTATGCTTTGAAGCTGGCCAATATTGGGTGCATTTGCTTTTGAACAGCTAACATCTCTTCAAGTGCAGATACTTGATTAAAAATTATGTGCCATCCTCTACAGCAGCAGCAGGGTTGGAACTCACTAATGGAATAATTCTTTTTTCTCTCCCTTCTGCACATTTTTATGATGGGAGGGAGCCACGTCTTCCAGAAGGACTTCCTTCTCTGATGCCTAAGCACAATGTTTAATATGTGTGTAGTAACAGGATTAACTGTACGTCAAGGGCACTGGCCCCCCTTGGCCGGTTATTTAGCCTCTGTGTTTGTAAAAGTTTAATTACAGGAAACATCTTTTCTCTGAGAGTAATCAAGATTCAAGTTCTTCTACCAGTGAACAATCTTGGAGCAGTAACCACAAAAGGAAATCCCTAAAGCCATATTCCAGTAGGAGTAAAACTAGAGTCAGAAGCAGTTTAAGAGGTACCTTTGCTTGCCATCTTTTGGGTCACTTCTCAGATCAATTGGCAGCTATTATTTTTTTCAGTGTGGGGGATGGTAACAAATATGATTACGGGCCCCTCTTTCCCATTTTACAATCACACCAGAAAGGAAAAATATATGTACATGAAACAAAGAATATGGAGTTAACTAGAAGTTATTAAAAGTCAGGAGTTGAGCTGGGGGGGCCTCATAAGAGCTAGAGCCACTTTTAAGTACGAGGTGGGAAGGACTTGAGCTAAGCCTTGGGAAAGGAGTGGGGTGTGAAGGGCTGAGAAGGGGAAGCTTTTTTAGGTAAAAAAAAAAACCACCAAAATGCACCCAGGAAGTGAGGGTGATGTTCAGGGACGGTGTTTGGAGCAGGAGTTCACACGAGGTGGTGAGGAACAAGGTGGAATCATTGCAGAAGTATTTAAGAGCAGACACGCGAGCAGGTGCTCAGAGTGGGAATAGCTCTAGCAGTGGCCTGTGTCATTAGAGGGAGAAATGGACCTCTGTGTGTCTCATAACTAAATGTACCCACTGTATGCTTATTTTCTTTTGTTCTTTAGTCTTGCCACATTTCCTTTTCAGTAGTGGCAGTGACCATGAGAAAGATCAAGTAAGTAAATTGTGTTGGACTGCCCTGGGCCCTAATGGGTTACACAACATTTTTTTTTTCTCAAAATACTTCAGCAATATGAGAATAATGAACCAGAAGTTTGCTGTTATATCCACTTCTGCCAATAGAAACTGCAAGAATCGTGGTGGTGCACACCTGGAATCCCAGCTACTGAGAAGGCTGAGACGGGAGGATTGCAAAGTTGAGGCCAGTTGGGCCAACTTAGCAAGACCCTCAATAAAAAGAAGGGCTGGGCATGTCACTTAGTGGTGGAGTGCATCTGGGTTCAGTACTGAGTACTGCAAAAAAAAAAAAAAAAAAATACTGAAAACCTGTAAGGGCTTCCAAACATTTAGTATGAATCATAGGTAAAGTTTAGGATCTTTTTTTCCCATTATTTACAAATATTGTTAAATATTATATAGGATACCCAAAACCTTGGCTATTCTGAATTCCCCTAGATATTTGCTCTTTTGAATTTGTTTTGAAGTAAATTGGTTTAATTCCTCCTATAGTTTTCAGTTTCTTATATTGCTTATATTACTTCTAAAGCTTTATAAAGCATATAAATCTTCCTTTTGCAAGTGGTTCATGTGCCTTCAGGCTTATGTAAATATTGAACAAATGCTTGGGGTTTTAAAATTTCACTTATCCTCGTTTTATACCAAGGAGTTAAAAGTATGGATGCCAGTGTCCTCTGGACCAATTCAAAGCCACATTTTGCCTCTTGTCAGCCGAGTTATTCTTTGCTTAGTGGTTGGTTTTTGTCTGTCGTGTGAGGGGTGTATAGACTACAGAGTCCATGACCACGGACATAGGGTTTTATGAGGAGCCACTGCTGTGATTGAGGCCTCCGTGGCACCCTGCCTGCTGGTGCAGAAACTCAATAAACTGCAAGTGCTCTGGTCACAGCTCCAGCTGCGTGCTGCATTAAGTACATGTTGATTCTCAAGTCATTCAGGATAGAGAGTAAACTTTTGAGCCAGAGTAGGTACAGTTTTCCCTTGGGATCCATGAGGGATGGGTTCCAGAACTCTTTGGTGACCAAAATCTATGGATGCTCAATTCCTCATAAAATGGCATAGTATTTACTTATCTAGGCATATCCTTCTATATACTCTAAATCATATTTAGGTTCCTCATAGTACCTAATGCATTGTAAATGCTATGCAAATAGTCACTATACTATCTAGTTCAGAGAATGGTGACTAGGGGGAAAGTTGATGTATAGATTGAGTAAATGCAGTGTTTTCTTCAGTATTTTTGATGGGCCATTGGTTGAATTTGTGGATGTGGGACCCATAGATATGGAGGGCTGATTGTAGTTGGTTATTTGTTGACTCATTCAACCCAAAATAATGAAATGGCCCAAAAGAATAGATTATCTAGTAAATATGGCTTTGGTTTTAAATAAGCACCAAAGAAACATCACAGATTTAAGAATTCTTAAATCCAAGCTATGCAACTGGTAAAGTCTAGGCTGATGTTCAGTGAGGGTCTTGTGGACTTTCCACTTAAAATATATTTTCCTGTGCTGCAGTATAAGAATAATTATCTTAGTGGTTGGTTTTTGTCTGTCATATGAGGTATGTATAGACTGCATAGTTGTCAAACTTTTCTGTAAAGGGCCAGATAGTAAATATTTGGACATTTGTGAGTCATACAGTCTCTAGCAATAACCCAACTCTGTCTTTGTAGCCAGAACGGTTCCATAGATGATAGGGAAATTAACAGCATAGTGTGTTCTAATAAAACTTTATTTAGAAGAATAGACCGTGGGTTGTACTTTGCCAAACCCTGATTCAGAACAGTGGTTCTCAAATTTGAGTGGCTATCAGAAAAACTAGGATGACTTGTTAAGACAGATTTCTCAGTCCTATCCCCAGCATTTTTTATTGAGTAAGTCATAGGTGGCATTTGAGTATTTGCATTTCTTTCAAGTTCCTGTGTGTTGATGATGCTCTTGATCTGGACCACACTCTGAAAAGCATCAATTTAGAGTTTATCAGTTGAAGTATGACCTAACTGTTCTTATAATTCTGAAATTTCCTGGTCTTTGTGTTTACTTTTGAATGCAGTAAATCCAATACCTAACTTCTTAAAAGGATATTGAAAATGTCTTGGGATTTTTTTTGGATAAAGTTTTCAGTGGTTATGAATGCTCATACTTAACAAAGGTGTCATTATGTTAGGCTAAACTTCTGTCACCAGTACGGGAAGACATTGATAGGCAAAATGCCACACTTCCAAAAATTTCTGAAACTGAACCCCAGCGTAGCCCTTCCTTTTTAACTCCTGAAGATTCTACACAGAAAATAGGTAAGTGATTTTTTTGTTGTTGGTTTGTATAGATAAAAAGTTGTATTTGGAGACTGGTGGTTTGAAGCAAACCATTTTTTAAAAAGCCATGAAGGAAAGTGTTAGTTTGTGATGGCCTTTCCCTTTAATGTCTCCATTGGCAAAGGATGGGAGATATTTTGTTTATATTTTGCTTTGACATTTGAAATCAGATTACTCATAAGAATTGCCAGGTCTCCCTTTAAACATGCAGGAAAACTCAAGTGATGACCTAGAGCAGGAATTGATAAACTTTTCCCATAAAGTACACTGATAGCAAATATTTTTGCTTCTTGAATGCATATGGTTTCTGTTGCAGCTATTTAACTCCACAGTTGTAGCACAAAATCAGGTGCAGACAAGATTTAAACCAGTAAGCAGGCTTCTACCAAATGTTATTTACAAAATCGGATGCAAATTGGATTTGGCCTGGGGGTCCAGTTTTGCCAAGCTTTGTTTTTTAAGCATTACCTTAACCCTCCCTATATCTTATTGGAATTGTTTGCATCTTTTTAAGTTCATAAGCTTAGGGATTTTTCTTTTGTTCACCTTTATCATTCTACAGTTTAGCTGCTGCCAGGCACACACTGGCACCTAGGAAACACTGGGCCTCTTAGCCTGGCTGCCACTCATAGAAGTGTAAGGAAATGGAAAGGGGAGAGATGAAGATGCAGCATAAAGAGAGAGAGGCTGTGAGGCAGAAAGTTTGGGGAAAAGGAACAAACTACAAAATAGAAAACAATTAACAAAAGGCCACAGTAAGTCCTTACCTATTAACAATTACTTTATTGTAAATGGAATAAATCCTCCAATCAAAAGAAAGAGTGGCTGTTAGCTTAAAGAAACAAGATCCAATGACATGCAAGAAACTTACATTAGTCTTAAGGAAAAAGACTTAAAATGAAGAGATGAACAAAGATACACTCCATGTAAATGGTAACCAAAAGAGAGCAGAGGTGGCTATACTTAATATATACTTTCTGTCAAAAATCTGTCATCGATCAGAAAGATTAATGTATTATGTTATAGGGGTCAATTCAAGAAGAGGATATAATTATTGTAAATATATAGGCACCCCAGCATTGGAGCACCTAAATATGTAGAGCAAATATTAACAAAATGGAAGGAAAAACCAACAGCAATACCATAGTAGTAGGGGACTTCAGAAACCCATTTTCAACAATGGGCAAATCATCCAGAAAGAAAATCAATATGGAAATGGTGGACTTGGATGATACTGTGGAACAAGGGACCCAACAGACATACAAACGTTCCATACAACAGAGTATACATTCTCAACAGTGTACACTGGACATTGTCCTGGATATATGTAATGTATGGCCACAAAACAAGTCTTAACAAGTTTAAGAGGATTGAAATCATGTCCAGTATCTGTTCTGACTACAGTAGCACAAAATTGAAGCATTAACAGGGAAATTTTTGGAAAATTTACAAGTGTGTGGACAGTAACAGCATACTTCTGAATGATCAGTGGGTCAGAGAAAATCGAGAGTCTCTTGAGACAAAAGGAAATGGAAACAGACTACACCAGACCCTATGGGATGCAGCAAAAGCAGCATTTAGAGGGAAGTTCGTAATGATAAAAGCCTACATTAAGGACTGGGGTTATGGCTCAGGGGTAGAGCGCTCGCCTAGCACGTGTGAGGTCCTGGGTTCAATCCTCAGCACCACATATAAACAAATGAAGGCATTGTGTCCATCTACAACTAAAAAATATATATTTTTAAAAAAGTCTACATTAGGAAAAAAGATGTCAAATGAACCAACTAACTCTACACTGCAAGGCACTAAAAATAGAATAAACTAAGCCCAAAGTCATGAGAAGGAGGAAAATATTTATGAGAGCAGAAATAAGATATAGACCCTAAGATAATTTAAAAGAGCTACAAAACAAATTAGTTCTGTGATGCTTGCCTGTAATCCAAGTGGCTCATGAGGCTGAGGCAGGAGGATCACAGGTTCAAAGCCAATCACAGCAAAAGCGAGGTGCTAAGCAACTTGGTGAGACCCTGTCTCTAAAGAAAATACAAAATGGGGATGTGGTTCAGTAGTCAAGTGGTCAAGTGCCCCCGAGTTCAATCTCTGGTACCAAAAAGGAAAAAAAAAGTTTTGTGAAAAGATAAAAGTAACAAACTTCATCCTATCTAAGAAAAAAGGGGGCTCAAATAAAATTATAGAGTCAGAGAACATTACAACTGATACTACAGAAATACAAAGGATCATAAGATGCTGCTATAGAAAATTATATGCCAACAAATTGGATCACCTAAAAGGAATGAATAAATTTCCAGACATATAAACCTACCAAGACTGAATCATGAAGCAGAGAATTTGAATAGATTCAAAGTAATGAGACAGAATCAGTAATCAGAAATTTCCCTTCAAAGCAAAGCCCAGGACAGGATGGATATATGATTGAATTCTACCGAGCATTTTAAAAGGAATTATCTGGTCTTCCTGAAACTGTTCCAAAAACTTGGAGAGGAGGGAACATTACCAAGTGTACTTTATGAAACCAGCATCACTCTGATACCAAAGCTATATAAGGACACTACAACAGAAGAAATATTACAGGCCAGTGTTCCTGATGGACAGCTATTCAGAAATCTCTATCAATATATAAGTCAATGGATTAAAACGGTACACTGAAAACACTGTGATCAAGTGGGATTTATCCCTGGGATGTAAGGGTAGTTCAACATATGGAAACTAATAAATGGAAAAAAAACACTTTAACAGAATGAAGGATAAAACCCTATGATCATTTCAATAGATGCAGAAAAAGTATTTGGAAAAAAAAAACAATAAAAATTAGATGTGTAAGGAATCACCTCAACATTTTTAAGTCAATATGTGAGAAGCCCACAGTTAATATTGTATTCAGTGGTGAAAACCTGAAAATTTTAAGATCAAAGCAAGCATGCCTACTCTCGCCACTTCTACTCAATAGAGTTCTGCAAGTCCTAGTCAGAGAAATTGGACAAGACAGAAAAAAGGATCCATACTGGAATGGAAAAAGTTAACTTGTCACTGTTACCAAAAAACTCTTATATAGAGAGAACCACCAAACTTCTTCCACCAGAAATCTCAGAACTGCTAAACCACTTCCCCTAGAAGTAAAATTATGGGATAATAAGATCAATATATAAAAATCCCTTGTGGTTTTTTCCCCCTGGTTATTCCTGATTCAAATTGGCTGAAGAAAAGGCACTTACCACTCACAACATTTTCCAGAAAGATGAACTAAAGTAATAGATATATGGCTGCATTTTTGAGATGAGCATTGAGGAGAGACATTGAAAAGCAGCTAAAGACTGAAACCTGAAAGATTTAGAGACTTAAGAATAACAGTATAGTAAGAAAAACAAAATACCCTGGTATATGTGTGTCTGCAGACAGGAGTCCTGCTAATACGGGGTAAGAGTGGAAAAAGTCCACTGGGTAGAGTGGCGCACACCAGTAATCCCAGCGGCTTGGGAGGTCAGTCTCCCAAGTTCAAAGCCAGCCTCAGAAAAAGCGAGGTTCTTAACAACTCGGTGAGTCCCTGTCTCTAAATACAATACAAAATAGGGCTGAGGATGTGGCTCAGTGGTTGAGTGCCCCTGAGTTCAATCCTCGGTACCACCTCCCACCAAAAAATAAAAATAAATAATAAATCCTGGAAAACTCAACCAGTATGGATGCTGATAATTCTAAATACTGAAAAGTTTCAATCCTCATGTGCTTGCAGCTCATTTAGATAAGTGATCTGAAATCTGCTCGGTATCCTTGCTTTGGGAAAGGATCTCTCGATATCTCCCTGTGAAACCCCCAGAGTGCTGTAGCTAGGAGCCATCTTGAGCAGTGATCTGTTGTCTGTCTGGGCTGCTCTAGGTATCAGGACCCCCTGCGTATTCCTGCCTCCAGGACTCCACAGACACTCCACCACACTCACTTGTGGGTCACTGTCTCATGACCCCTACACCGTACAGCAGAACAACTGTGACTGAAGTCCGCCGGGTGCCCTGCAAGAGAAAAGTGTTGGGACAAGGAGGAGAATGGAGGACACTGCCCTCAAGAACCAAGAGGGTGGAGCCCTTGCCCTCTGAGACTAAAGGTGTGGTCAGCTGCACAGGGACTCCTGCTAAATGCCAGGACTGCAGGCGGGCGCTCCCCCACCATACCGCATTCAGATGCCCATTACTGGCAGGTTGGGGAGGGAACTACTAGTTCCGTCATCCAACATTTGTTCATAATAAAAGCTCTCAACAAGTGAGATATGGAAAGATCCTGCCTCAACTACTGAAAGCTATGTATGCAAAACTGTCGCCAATGTCATACTCCAAGAGGGAAAGTGGAAAGCATTTCCTCTAAGATCATGGATAGTACAAGTATGTCTTTTCATTGCTGTTATTCACATAGCAGAGCTTTTAGAAAGAAAAGGCATCCAATATGAGGAAATGAAATTATCTCTGTAGGTATTATTCTATATGTAGAGATTCAAATATTCCACCGAGAGACTATTAGAATTGATAAACTCGGTAAAGTAGCAGGATGCAATGTCAACATAAAATATCTGTTTTCTATATACCAATAACAAAGTTTGCTGAAAAAAAAATCATGAAGGCAATTCCATTCATACTAGCTACAAATAAATAAAATATCCCAGGAATTAACCAAAGAAACATGTCTCTACAGGAATAACCAGACAGATGAGAGAATTTGTGAACAGAAGATGAAAAGACTTTCCGTGTTCATGATTGAAGAATTGATAGCTTAAATGTTCAGACTGTCCAGTGCAATCTATAGATTCCATGCATTTTCCACCAAAATACCCATAAAATTCTTCACAGAACTAGAAAAATATAGTAACATTCATATGGAAGCACAAACTACACTAAATAACCAAAGGAATCTTTTAAAAATAGCAAATAATATATATTCCTGGGTAAAGAAACTTATTCTATTTATGATATCCATACCCACAAATGATTCAATTTAGTAAGGACTTTGTAGAAAGTACAATGACAACGTATGAGAGGTTTGAGTTACAGTGTAAGTATGTTATTTGTTGAATTCTAAAATACTCCAAAGATGTTTTGATATGAACCTGTTTGGGATTAGCGGTGTACTTTCTGGCTAAATATCACAAGGGAGGATTACACATTTCTCCTCTAGTGACATATAAATACGACTGGTCTCCTTCAGTCTCCCCACGTTAGCCTTGTCACATGACCATGTCTTCTATTTAGGCTTTATAAATCCTAAAGGTTCTAGTTCAGAAACAGCTCTCATAAACCAGCCTGGATAATTCCAGACATCTCTTCTGCGGTTGTAGAATTTGCATTCATCTTTTCATCAGCTGTCACGGGGTTGACTAGCCTGCTACGCTGCAGGAGCAGTTGATAAGTGATGCAGATGTCAGGGGCAGTGTTTGGAATTCAGTCTTCCCTTTTCAGTGTTTTGTTCCTTAAATAACAATAAGGGTTGCCGAATGCTGTGTGGAAGGTGTGATACTGGAGCAACATTTAAATGCTCACGTGGAGAGCACTGAAGTCTTGGGAGGCAGAAGGTATTCACTCACTAGACAATGAGGTTCACAACTTTTTCTTTGAGCGCATCAAACCCCATTTGCTTCTTTCTTATCGTTAACTCCTTCGTTTCCAGGAAAAATAGATTCCATGTGTTTCCTTGTGAAGAATGAAACTGTATGCTATATTTGTCATTAATTTGGTTTTATGGTATGAAAAATCTTCTTCATTTTGAGAATTGAGATCCTAAAGTTAGAACTGTCTTCTGAACACGAGAGAGATCCGTCTCCTGAAGCCCCTTTGGCTGTGATCCAGAAGCGGCTGCTTTGGCATCAAGGTTCTGAAACTGGGTCATGAACTTCCCTGTTCTCTTCGATTTCTGAAGCCTGGTCATCAGTTCATCCTTTGCCAGTGTCTCTCTTGGAGGATGAAAGCCTGAGATCAGACAGCTCCGCTGGTTTGGACTCCTTGGCCGCATTGTGGCAGATGGCATCATGGTAGTAGTGGATGTAACCAAAGCAATCTTGAGCAAAAGAGCCAAGCGGATGACATCAAATACCTCATTTCAAGACATAGTACCGAGCAAGGTAATCAAAAAATGACATTGGCATAAAGATAGACACAATGGAAAACAGAGACCCCAGAAGTAAATCTATGCATCTATAGCCAACTGATTCTTGATAAAGGTACCTGTCGTGGACTGGGTGAAGGAATGTCTTCCCAAAAGTTCACGTTTTGAAAGCCTGATTTTAGTGCAGTGGGGTTCAGAGGTGGGGCTTTTAGGCAATGATGAGAGCTGAAACCTCATAAGTGGATTATTTCATTTGAGGGGGTAACGATTTGAGTGGACTTCTGCGTGGTAACTGTAGGCAGGTGGGGCGTTGTTGAAGGAATTAGGTCATGGGAAGGGCGTGCCCTTGGGGTCTACATCTTTTTTTTTTAAATTATTCTATCATGTAGCTGAATAATTACTATTTTATGAAGGTTTATTGGTGCATATTATTTATACAGAATAGTGAGTTTACTGTGGCCTATTCATATATACATATAATATGGTTAAATCAATTTCACTTTCCAGTACGTCTTCTTGCCCTTACCTTCTCTTTCCCACATGCTCCCCTACCTCTATTCTAGTGGTTTCCCTTCTACTTTCATGAGACCCATTTTTTTCTTTTTTTTCCCTCTAACTTTCACAAATGAGAGAAAACATCATGACACTTGTTTTTTTCTGAATCTGTATTATTCAGCTTAACTCGATACTTTCCCGTTCCATCCATTTTCCTGCAAATGCTATTATTTAATTTTTCTTTATGGCTGAATAAAACTCCATTGTGTATATATACCACATTTTTTTTTTAGATTTTTCATCTGTTGATGGACACCTAGGGACAGGCAATAATTTTCTGGCTAGACCCCGGAAACCAAAGCAAAAATTGATAAATAGGATTACTTCAAACTAAAATGCTTCTGCACAGAAAAGTTAACATAGGAGACAACCCCACAGGGTGGAAGAAAATGTTTTCTAGTTATTCCTTTGACAGAGGGTTTTGTTCAGGACATATAAAGAACTCAAAAGCATAAAAATAATTTAGTTTAAAAATGGTCAAAGAATATGAAAAGACACTTATCCAAGGAAGAAATACAATTGGACAACAAATATGTGGGAAAAATGTCCATCATTAGCCATTAAGGAAATGCAAATCAAAATGAGGTGCCGTCTTTCCCCAGTTAGAATGCTTGTGTATTTATATGTACATACATAACAAATGTGTATATACACCAATGTTTATGTACAAAATTATAGTGAGGAGGTGTAGAAGTAACTTGTATGTGCTTATGTGGTGATGGGAATGTAACTAGGTACAGCCACTGTGGAGAAGCAGTATGAGGATTCCTCCAAAAATTAAAAATTAGATCTACTATATGATCCAGCTATGCCACTCCTGGGAATATATCCAAAGGAAATGAAATCAACTTACCAAAGAGGCACCTGCATGCCCATGTTTGTTGTGACATTGTTCATAGTAATTAAGAAATTAGCCCAAGTGTTCCTCAACAGATAAATAGTGGTATGTATACACCACGGTATTTACTCATGCAGAAAAATGAAATCCTGTCCTTTGGAGCAAAACGGATAGAACTGGAGGAACTTATGTTCAATGAAATGAGCCAGATGTCAATAGTACTATAGGTTCTCATGTGGGGAAGTTAAAAATGTCAATCTGCAAGTAGAATAGTGACTACTAAGGATTGGCAAGAGTTCATGTCCAGGAGGTGGTGGGGGAGGTAGGAAAAGAATATTTCAATTTGATCAGGGCATGCTGTACCCATGTATGAAAATACACTGAGCCCTGTTATTATATAATTATGCTAATCAACTGTAGTCTGTTCTATGTTCTAGTAACAAATTATCTGGAAAAGGAATCAAGAAACTTATCCCATTTTAGTAGCATCAAAATAAATAAAACAGTAATGAATATAAGCAAGTAGATGAAAGATCTGTATACAGAAGTCTATAAGACATTGATAAATCAACACAAATGGAAAGATCTCTCATGTTCATGGATTGGAAGAACTAATTATTTTAAACACTTTTAGTTGTAGATGGACACAATACTTTTAACTTATTTGTATGTGGTGCTGAGGATTGAACACAGTGCCTCACATGTGCAAGGCAAGCGCTCCACCACTGAGCTACAACCCCAGCCCTTGGAAGAATTAATACTAAAACGTCTATACCGTCCACAATCTATGGAGTTCAAGTAATTCTTATCAAAACTCCAATGGCATTTTTTTAACCAAAAAAAAATCTCAAAATTTGTATGCAGTAGCAAAAGACTCCAAACTGCTAAAGCAATCTCGAGAAAGAGGAATAAACCTGGAAGAATCAGATGTCAAACTAACAAAGCTGTTACTCAAAACTGGTGTGAAGACAGACATGCAGACCAATGGTAAGAGAACAGTCCAATAAGAAACCCATTGAAACATAGTCACCGAATCTTTGACAACAGTGCAGAGAATACACAATGAGGAAAGTTTCTTCAATAAATCGTGCTGGAAAAATTGGACATCAATATACAAAAGAGTGAATCGAACCCCTCATACCATATGAAATATTAAAATGGATTATGGACTTCAATATTGGAGACTTTTAAAGAGAAATGGCTCCTTTACATCAGTCTTGGCAGTGATTTTAATATTGCCAACAAAAGCAAAAATAAGTGGTACTGCAAAAAACTTCAAAGGAATCAACCAACAGAATGTAGAAAATAATTTTTAAAATACAGAAGTAACTAAATAGGCATTTTGCCTTTCTACCTTTTTTTCTAAGCACTTTCCCAAAGAAGACATACAAATGACTGACAGATGTGTGGAGAGGTGCTCAGTGGCACTAATCAGGGAAGCACAAATCAAAATCACCATGAACTATCACTTCATGCTTGAGGATGGCTACTATCAAAAAGACGAGAGGTAACAATTGTTGGCAAATGTAGAAATGGAAACCCTCAGTACACTGTTGGTGGGAGTGTGAAGTGGTATGATCCAGGAATTCCACTTGTGGGTATCCAAAGGAAATGAAATCAGTATGCCAAAGAGAGCTGCACTTTCGTGTTTGCTGCACCATTATTCACAATAGCCAAGATATGGAAACCATCCAAACACCTGTCAGTGGATAAATGGAAGGAAAAAATGTGGTATAGATACATCATGGAATATCATCCCATTCCACAAAGGAGGAAGAAATCCCACCATTTGTGACAACATGGATGAACTTGAAGGACATTATGCTCAGTTAATTAGATCACACAGCATTCATTCGTCTGGCTCATTTATGTGTGGAATCTACAAAAGTCAAACTCATAGAATCAGAGTAAAATGGTCGTTGCCACGGGGGTGGGGGGAAATGGGAAGATGCTGATCTAAGTATACAACCTTGAAGCTGTGAGATGAACAAGTTCTACAGACGGAATGTGCAGCGTAGGTGGTGGTGGAGGTGTTAAATATGATGGTCGTTGCTCAGTGTAGATGTCAAATCATTGCACCCAAGAGGTAAGGAGGAAGTAAGGCAAGCAAAGGAAGAGAAGAATCTCAAGGTTGAGGTGATAGACTCCTTGCCCATATTGGGGGCCAGATGGGCAGCTAATAAAGTGTGATCTGGTTGAGGTCATGGACTCTTCATCTTATCTACAGTGATCTACAAACCTAATAACATACGTGCCCTGAAAAATGCAGACATTATTTTATCTAGGACTGCATACCCATCTTTTTATTATGTGATTTAATATAGAGTAATAGTGAAATGTTACTTATCTTTGTCTATTTACTTGAAGCTGTTTTTTTCTGATACTTAGAATTCCCAAATCCCCACCCACTGAGTGATCTCTCTTCCTTGGAGCACTCAGAAGTTGAAGAAGATGTATCTCAGGTACCATTCAGTTTTTCATTTGCTTTTCTAGAATTAAAAATATATCTGCATAACATACTGGCTTATTATTTTTTAAGTGATAGTGTGGCACTATTTCTTTGCAATTTTACATGTAATTATAACTCATGTAAGTATATATGCACACAAGCATATTTATCATTTGTGTTTTAGACTGTGAACCAAGAGTCGTTAATGGAAAATACTAGCTTCAAACATAAGCTGCAGAACTTGGAAGACAGAGGTAAGAGAACTAAATTTTCCAGAATAAAGTTAAATTAATGTGACAACATTATACATACCTAGCAGTTCTTCATGATGTTTCTTAACTTCTTAACTATAATATGTGTTGTTTAATTTTAAATATCTTCCATTTTTATTTTTATTTCTTTATTGATTCAAAGGTTATTTAAAATATATTTCTTTTTTTTATTTGGGCTTCTTTTCTGGGTGATTATTAAGATTGCAGCAGATAATAGTTACTTTACAGATTGACTGTTGTCAGGCCACGGGGTCAGCAGTGTGAGCTACTTACCAGCTCCAAACATTCATGAGGGTCAAGGGGAGAAATAGTGCTCCATCCGAAAACCAGAGTCTCTTGTGGCTGTGAAGAGAGAGTCTGAGTCCTGGGTCCTACCCACTGCCCCGCTGCCTCTGCAGAGGACACAGCGGAGGCACTTCTCTGAGATCGGGCCCAGGAATTTGTTTCATCCCCCTGTGTGTAGGCTACTCTCAGTTTGTAAGAGATGTTTAAAAGATGCAACCAAGTTATTAAAACTTCTAAATTCATTTTATCACACAGTGATGGAAGGTTCCTGAGCTAGTCCTCAAGGTCATATTAGTGTAACAACTCACTAATATATGAATACACATGTTCACATAATAATATGCTAATATAGTATGTAGCTGTTCTTCATGAGGTTTCTTAACTGTATGTTAAATATCAACATTTCAATTCATTATAAATTGCACATAGCATATTCAGAATATCCACACGACAAATATTTGTGAATATCTAGTTTTAGAAATGCGACATTACTATTACTTCTAAACATGGTATGCTCCACCTGAAATCCATTCCACCCTTTTCTCTCACCAGGGGCATTATCTTTTGTTGTGATTCCACTGCTCTTATTTTTAAATTTTTGCATTGGGAAAAACATTATGCATATTCAGAAGAGACTGTGAAGCATGTGTACAGTTCAGTGAATGATTGTCAGGTGAACACTTGTGCAGCCACAGCTTAGACTGAGGACTAGAACACTAGCTTAGAATCCTTCCGTATTGAGCAATTCTCTGTTCACTTCCTCCATCCCTCAGAGGTAGCGACTGTCCTCAATTATATGAAAATCCTTCTGCTCTTTTGACTTTTTTTCTTTTTTGTATGTAAACAAATGAAATTATGTTGCGTCTATCTTGTGTGGCCTGTTCTTTCTGTTTGGTCATTTTTAAGATCCGTTTATGCCGATGTATGTGTGTGAAGTATATTATTCTTCATTACAATTTAGCATTCAGTTACATGAAATACCATAGTCACCATCCCAGTACTGTAGGATGTTTGCATTTTGAAGCTTTGGGTGGTTATAGTTAAAGCCATTCTTAAAAATCATACACATTTCTCCTGATAAATGTGTGAAAGTGTTTTTTCCAGATATGTTTTTAGGAGTAGGATTATGGGTTATAGAGTGTATATCTTTCACAGTCTGAGAGGTGCCAAAATACTTTTCCAATGTAGTTGAATAAACTTGCTTTTCCACCAGCTTGTATGAAAGTTACGTTGCTTCAGATCCTTGACAAGTATTTTAAAATTCTTGGTTTTAAAACTTTTCTCCTATGTACATTGAAGTTTTAATTCAAATGTTCCTATCTATTGTTTATTAGATATTTGAATTTCCTCTTGTGTAGTGTCTAAAATGTCTGGGTCAGTTGTCTATAGAATTGTCATTTTATATTGATCCCTAGGTGTACTTTATGTACCAGCCCTGCACACTAGTACCTAGTTAGATACACTGTACACATCTCCTTTCACTTTGAGTTTTGTATATCTTTCTTATATGATGTGTTTATGATCTCCTTTGATAGATAAAATTTTTAATTTTAATGAATCCTAATTCACCAGTCTTTTCTCTGTGGTTAGTTATGTGATGTTCTTTTCTACCAAAACTCAGATGTCATTTACTGTTTAATAATACATCTAATGCTGTTAAGTACTGCTTTAGGTGAGTCTCTTAGATATGATATTTGTTGTTCACTTTTAAATATCTTCCATTTTTATTTTTATTTCTTTATTGATTCAAAGGTTATTTAAAAGATATTTCTTTTTTTATTTGTACTTCTCTTTATTTCTACTATAAGAATTAGTTGCTGTTACAATATATAATAATGAATCAAGTTACATTCCAGAAAATGATAGAAGTTGAGAAAACCTGTGTTTCATTTAAAAAAAAAAAAAAAAAAAACCCTCAGGATAGTCCCTGAGTTCATGAACTCACAAAAATTCCTAGCCTGCCTACTTGCTCAAGTATAGTGGTTCAAACATGTGACATTGAAGTGATTGATGCCACTGTCAATGTCATATTGTGTGATACATCATAAGTCCGAAAACATTCATCTGTTTATTCTTGCATTTATTCATTCTTTTGCTCAATACATGTTTTTTTAAAATTATAATTTGTTATATATCACAGAAGAATGCATTTCAATTCATAGTACACATATAGAGCACAATTTTTCGTGTCTCTGGTTGTACACAAAGTACAGTTGCACCATCTGTGTCTTCGTACATATACTTAAGGCAATGTTTTCCATCTCATTCCTCTGCCTTTCCTACCCCCATGCTCCTTCCCTTCCCTTTTCTCCCCTTTGCCCTATCTAAACTTCCTCCATTCCTCCCATGCGCTCCCCCACCCCCATTATGGATCAGCATCCACTTATCAGAGAAAACATTCAGCCTTTGGTTATTTGGGATTGGCTTCTTAGCATTATGTTCTCCTACTCCATCCATTTACCTGCAAATGCCATGATTTTATTCTCTCTCAATGCTGAGTAATATTCCATTGTGTGTAATATGTGTGTGTGTATATATATATATATATATATATATACACACACACACACACACACACACACACCACAGTTTCTTTATTCATTCACCTACTGAAGGGCAGCTAGGTTGCTTCCATAGCTTAGCTATTGTGAGATGAGCTGCTATAAACATTGATGTGGCTGTATCACTGTGATATGCTGATTTTAAGTCTTTTGAATATATACCAAGGGATGAGATAACTGGGTCAAATGGTGATTCTATTCCTATTATATATACATATATAATAGGAATATAATTTATTGTATTATATATAATATAATATATATTATACTATATATAATATATTTTTAGTTGTTAATGGATCTTTGTTTATTCATATGCAGTGCTGAGAATCAAACCCTGTGCTTCACACATGCCAGGCAAGTGCTCTACCACTGAGCCACGGCTCTAGCCCCTCCATTCCTAGTTTTTAAAGTAATCTCCATACTGCTTTCCAGAGTGGTTGCACCAATTTTCAGTCCCACCAGTAACATAAGAGAGTACCTCTTCCCCCACATCCTTGCCAACACTTATTGTTGCTTGTATTCTTGATAACTGCCATTCTGACTGTAGTGAGATGGACTCTCAGTGAAGTTTTAATTTCCATTTCTCTAATTGCTAGAGAGGTTGAACATTTTTTCATGTATTTGTTGACCATTGTATTCAATGAAGTGCCTGTTCACTTTGCCCATTTATTGATTGGGTTATTGGGGTTTTTTTGTTTGTTTGTTTTTTCTTTTAAGTTCTTGAGTTCTTTGCATATCCTGGAGATTGCCATATATTTTATAAAAATTCTACCGTTATTATATATTTTGTTGCCTCTTAAGATTTTAAAAATTGCTTTACTACCAAGTCTGTTTTCCTTGTAACCTCTTTGTAACTTTCAAGTTGACTTGGGACAAATTTTTGATTTACTTATTTTTTGAGGACTTTGTAATGTTCCACTGTATTTTAGTGGTGTTTTTTCCACTTAAGTGACTTGGTCTTTTTGTCTGGGTGCTCAGAGTTCCTTTCTTTGTCTTTCTGAGATTCCTCAAGGTCATATCTCTCCCTCCAACAAGTAAACATTGTAATTAATATTAAAATTTTGTTTATAGGTGCTTTTATAAAATATAAGTGCATGCACATGGTTTTGTTTTATTTATTTATTTTTTTTTAAATTATTCTAACTTGTTATATATCACAGCAGAATGCATTGAAGATGTATGGTCAGATGTATGGTTCATTCATGTAAATGCCACTGTTAATTCTTTCATCAGTGGTTCTTTTATGCATTTGTTTTTAATTGACATACAAAACCGAAAATTGTACATATTAATGGAGTACTATGTAATATCTAAGTCCCTGGATACATTGCCTGATGATTAGATCAGGCTAAAAATGTAGCTCCTCAAACATTTATCATTTCCTTATGGTGCACACTTTGAAAATGTTTTCTCCCAGCTTTTTGCAATGCACAGAACTTCACGGTTATCTATGGTGAACTTGGTATGTAATAGCACACCAGAACTTGTTCCCACCTATCTCCATCCACTGTTCAGCCTTTCCCCATAGTCCTCAAAGAAAAGTACGTCAAGAGTTTTTACCTGGTCAACCCGCTCCCCTGCGCTCTGACTCCTGGCAGACACCATTCCACTCTCAGCTTCTATGAGATTCCATGTGAAAGTTTACATGTAAGGAAACATGTGTATGGTACTTGTCCTCTGTACTTGGCTTATTTCACCTAATGTAAAAATCTCCATTTCCATCCATATTGCTGCAAATGACAGGATTTTTTTTTACTTTTTATGGTTGACTAGAATTCCACTGTGTATATGTACCACATTTTCTTTATCCACTTATGAGATGATGAATGCTTTGGTGGTTCCCATCTTTAGCTTTTGTGAATAGTGCTGCAGTGAACATGAGAGAGCAGATGTCTCTCCACATACTGATTCAATTTCCTTTGGATATATACCCATCAGTGGGATTGATCATCCGAAGTTTACATACTCTTTTTCCCTAATGGCTGTACTGAGTCACATTCCCATCAGCAATGTGCAAGGTTCCCTTTTCTCCACATTCTTACAAGCACAGGGTAGCATTAGTCTTTTGATAAATACCCCTTCTAAATGGGGGCAGGTGATATGTCCTTGTGGTTTGGGTTTTCATTTCCCTGA